GTTAGTTTCCGCAAATAGGTGAGCACTGTTCACATCTTAATGTAAAATAAAAGTCCTCTTTTGAGCAACAACTAGCATCTCTCCAAGTGAGCCACCTGCACATATTTGATATCGACAGATTTATAATATTTTTATGTTCATATGATTTCTTGAATGTTAGAGTTAAGTTTGAAACTAGACATTCGACACTAACGCTATACCCTGCTTTGTTGACAAATATTTGAAGCTTTGAGTCTGGCAACCTGCCCATATCTGGAGTAACTATACGTCCTCTTTTAACCGGACATGTCCTCTTTTTGGGGAGAGATGATAAAATCCTTCAAATGTCCAGAGTTTTGTATGGAACTTTCGAGTTTGTGTCATGTGGACTTACTGAGTTAGAAGCGTATAAAAGGTGCGAAAAAAAACTCTCAAAATTAACTTGATGTGACTCCGTGACTTCGCCCTAGTTGTGTCTTCTTTTTGGGGATTCAGAATAGGGTCACCCTACCATATCTGCCTTTTTTTCAAGGTAAAAGTAAAATGGAGCTGGAGTAGTTCGAGGGATTAGCAGCTGGTTAGCAGCTTTACCTAGTAGTTGCTAATTCATAAGGATAGCACACATATAGTGTTCCTTTAATTACCAAAATCACTTTGGCTGTGGTTGAAACTAATTTCCATCGAAAAACAACTAATTTCTTTTCAACTGAGTCACTGAACAGCCTGCTCCAGTTGTCTTAAGTACCCCGAACCCCTGCTTGAATAATAGTACTCATTAATTTAGCACCATGAACAAAAGGAACACCATGTTGTGGAAAAAGGACTTGAAACTGGCGATTTAAGAAATGCACAGCGAGGGAGGGTTACAAGTTGTGTAATTTCTTGTACTGATACTTTAATACTGATTATTGCAACCAGCTAAAATACCCTCTGCTGGACAAAAGGACACATGGAAGTCAAGACAAATGACTTTAAAAGGCACTTTTAAAAATGGATCTTCTGCACAAACTTTCATAGCGCTCTATCCGACAGTTGTTGAAATATTCAATCAAAGCCAAAGTCGTAGAAGACCCCATTGCCATGACTAGCTGACAGTGTTATCCCTGAATCCAAATGTTTCTGCTGTGCTTTAATTAAGGATTAGTTTGAGCAAAGGATTACCAAATGTTTTGTACTCTCGTCGGTTGGCAAGAAAGTGAACTACAGTGTCCATGTTAATCATAAAGAAGGCGTTTGTCAACCAGTGCAAGCATGCGTCTCACTGATGTGTTTGAAAAAGTACTCAAACGAATATAAAGCCAAGGATCACTAAGGAATAAGCTTTAGTAGGCTTTGGTTGAATTTTTTATAAGGATTGGCAAAATACAGAACATTGGCAGCCTTATCCCTCAAAAACCCCAACTTACCCCGCAGGAAATGGAGCTGCTCATAAATCTCTCATATCCGGATATCCCTTCAGAGTCTTCCTCTCTCTCCTTCCCAGCTCTTACCTTAACTCCCCTATGTGGTACCTCTGCTGTCACCATTATCTCAAGTGTAGTGTGTCGGGTTCAAGAGCCTGTGCCAGCAGGGGAACAAACCTTAGTGTCAGGGAAAGTCTATAACACATGCTCATATAGTGCTAACCAGTAGTAATACCATAAATGAGTTATAAGATGAGGTCCTCTTGTGGAGAGGACTGCAGGTGTGTAGAGATAGACTCACTTTGTGAGCCTTACTCAGTGACACCAGGAGTGGAATTTCTTTTATTCTGAACTTATACAAAAGCCCCTTCACCGTGAGACTGAAAACTTTTGAAATTTTATGTAATTTAAAATGTTATCATCAGGGAAATATTCTCAAGGTATTAGATGAAAAGATGTCTCAGTACAGACGAATTTCCCCTGTGGCCTTTATCCTAACATTTATTATATCAATGGAATATTAAATCGACCGTTAAAACTCAAGATTCAGGTGTGCACACTCCAATAGGCCTAAAGAAGTAGCTGGTTTGGCTTCTGGTCGTGACCCTTAGCAATTATTTAACGGTATGCAGCAGAAGACGAGAGAGTTGGTTGTATGTGATCTGCAGATGCGTGCTGCATGTGTTCATGTAAGTAACAGAGAGTGGGACTCCTGTGTGTCACACTAGTGCCCTCCTTTCTGCCAACTCTATGATTTCCTCAGCTCACCTTTAAGCCAGCATCTGCTCTCTGGCGGTGGCTCTGTGACTTGGCCCCGCTTACAGCAGAGTGTGTGTGTGTGTGTGTGTGTGTGTGTTTTTCTTGAATCTACAGTCTGTCTCTCCAAGTCCTTCTCAAGATGAAGCAAAAAACGAATGCCAATTACGTGGCTAACCCTTTGACATTCAGATTATCCGCAATATTGTGGATCTCTGTGCTGGGAGAAATCCTTGAGGGTTTGCAGAACATTTGATTGTCATCGCACAAGAGTGAAGCTTCTGTGTGAAATAGCATGAACTAAACGCCGTCATCTGTGCTGCTGTGATTTATTTTGCATTCTGCCAACATCTATCCATCGAGGTAAACTAACAGAGGCCATATCAGGCAGCACCAGGATGTAGGTAGCATTATGGCAGCGATTAGTTGTGTTCATACCACCCACTGCAAGCCTAAGGACTGTACATTTGTGTGTGCTGTTTTGGCATATGCATCTGAGTGTAAGTGTGTATGTAAATGTGTGTGCGAGTCTGTGTGAATCAGGGAGAAAGTCTAAACTGAGATTTGGCTCTCTGCTTGATTATGAAGTGATCACCTCAGAGGGAGATAAATTGAGAAATTATGGCAAACCCTGGTGAAAAAAATCAAATGCTGGTTTTATCATTATCTAGCTAATAGGATTTTTTTTATGAGCCAGTATTGGTTAGCTTCCTCTTCATTTTCTACTTTTGGTAGCTTTTGGGGACAGCTGAAGACTTGTTGCTCTCAGCTGGATTTGTAGATAATATCATCCAGTAATGATAGTGAATTTTGGGGATAAATTAAAACTTGGAACAAAATGATCTTGCAGTTGTGTGGTCTTATCTGGGTTGGGATGCTCTTTGAATAAGTGGATTTCTCTGTTATTGAATACTGAATAAAAACAATAACGATTTTCTGAATGTGATTTCCTGTTCTGTTCATAACTCAACTGAATGTCTCTAGATTTTTTTGTATTCTTTAACTGTCAATTGGAATGATCAAAAAGCAGGAATAACAGTTTTGCAATCCATGGTGGATTCAAAACTGTGATCATTTGCAATAAAAAGTAGCAATATTTCTTTTTCATCGTCTTTTGGGTGTTCAAAGTATGTTTTTAAAAGGCAGACAGCTTTTAAATACTCTATTTATAATAATAATAATGCATCAGATTTCATATAGCGCTTTAACAAAGACCCTCAAAGTACTTTACATTGGATACATCATTCATTTGCTCACACAGTCACACTTTGGTGGTGGTAAACCACCTTAGTAATCACAGCTGCCCTGGGGCAGACTGTCAGAAACGTTGCTACCATTTTGCGCCTCCGCCTCTCCGACCACCACCACACAACACTCACAATCACACACCAGAGGAAGGACACACACTGGGAGCAAGGTGGGTTAAGTGTCTTGCCCAAGGACACAACGGACAGACTCAGGATAGGGGGGAATCGAACCGCCAACCTTCCACTTATTGGACGACCGCTCTACCTCCTGAGCTACTGCCGCCCCACTATTTAGCAGCTTTTACTTTTTATACAATTGCATGTCACAGGTCTTCCAGTGGTGCAGGTCTCAGAGACCCTAAACACAAAATCAGTCACAACATGTGGGTTACCACTCTGTCCACTGGGGATGCCAAAGACAACACAGACAGAAAGTTCATCACAGGAGCTTTGAAATGAAGTTATTATATTACATGTTTTCTTTCAGTTTGAGTCCTAAGAAAATGTCTAACACTGCAGTTTCAACTCTGTAGTGAGATTTATACAATACTTTTGTCGAAATCGACATGATTTGGTGACAAGATGACAAATAAGATTTCAGCCACCCCTGCATAAGTGCCTAAAAAGTATAGACACGCCCATGCTTAAATATTAGACTGATTTTTCTCACATTTTCTTAAAAGTCTAGAATAAGGAGATCTGAAGTAAGCACTTCAACTTCACATGCAGAAAATGAGAATACTGTACTGCTATTTCTGATATATTTCAGTCATATCATTGCGTACCTTTTGCAAGTCCTTGTATGCTTAAAAAGACCTCTTGTAACCCAAGGCTGCCTGTTTCAAGGTTCATTTGAAGGATTTACAGTGAACATTCATTTGCTGGTGTGAATTTGTCTTTATATGCAGAGACTGGTGCAGGCTGTCAGTTTGTAATTTGTCCTATAGATGCAAACACAGAGTCCACAAACCTAAATCAATCTCACTTGATGTGAAATTCACTATACGTTGTTTCTCAACGCTTGTCCTTGGGGTAGTGAGAAACAACTGGATTTCTATCTCTTCAGCTAGTTAATTGCATTCACAAAGCATCCCCTGTGTAAACTTGTTTCTGATTGGATGGTGGAGAAGAGAACCAGCAGATATCTGAGGACAGAGGAATCACTTATAGCAGCTGTGAGGAAACTGGTATCAACAGAGAGAAGGGTATAAAGATCATGTTTTGAGTGACATTGAGAAAGTGGTTCATCCAGTGTGGAGCTGCTCCTAAAAGACGTAAAGATAAATGCATCCACAAATCACTATTTTCCACGTTCTTCACAGACGTACAGTCCATCACACCCCCCCTAACATGAATGTGTGCTCATTTATAACCCGTGTTTCTCTCTCAAATCTCTTGTAGCCTCACGCCAGAGAAAATACTTTTCCTAACCTCACACTCGCACCTTTCTTTCCATTACTCTGTCCTTTACCAAAAGCGCAGACCATGCAGTGAAGTGCAGTATGGAAAACAGGGTAATATAAGGTCTCACCCGTTCCCGTGACACTATAGGAAACATACGTTCCCCGGAGCGTTTAAAGAGATGTAACCCCGCCTTGAATCTCCTCACTTCTTTACAGTCGCTGCGCTCCTGTCTCCGTCAGTGCCGAAGGTACCTCCGTGCGTAAAGCCTCGGATCACCAAACGGAAACCGCGCAGTTTCGATCACTCCTGCACTTCTCTCAAGACCCAGACTGAAGAAAAGGTCTTCGAGATCCTCGCTTAAAACCGGAGAGACTTTTACTGACTAAAAGTCATTATTTTTCTTGTATTGTGCGTGTTGTTGGCTCCGACTTGGACAGTTTTCCCACTTAGCCACAGCCTGTGCTGATGCCCAGCACTGGAGCTGCAACAACAACTCGTTTCATTTATAAAAAGTAAACAATGTGAGAAGCAAATGTAGGATACTGTGGGAGATCACCGTGGGTGCACTTGGATTTAACAGCCGGTGCCTGTCCAAACAAGGCTTTAAACTTATGGCGTGAAGGTAAGACTTTTAATTTTCTTCAGATGTGCTGTGACAAGGTAATTGGCAGTAAAAAAAAAAATACTATGTGTAGTTTCAGTCTGTTTAAGTCCTTAAGTGATGTGCCAAAGTGTAAAACATCACCATTCAGCAAGGATAGGTGGACTAGAAGGTTAACTAATACGAGATACAGGGAGATACAAAGAGATTTATTGGCTGTAATTCCAGAGATAATAACTCTCAATGTGAATTTGCAGTGGCTGTTGGCTGACCATTCATGCTCAGCATTCACCAAATATTTTCCCATTTCAAAATAAACACCAAGAGTCTGGCTGCGATGTAGGGAGCCGCGCGTCTTAGCGCACGAACTCTGCATATGCCACAAACACAGCTTTGCATCACTGGGAGGGTTTGTGCTCACGTCGATTGTTTGCAGAAGAATATTGATCCGGGATTATCTTCGATGTAAAACGACCAAATGCAAACATTTACCCTGTCTCGTAGTCCAGTCCAGAGAAGTCCTGTGTGGCGTAATCTCTGAGTTGTGGCAGTGTGCCTGTGTCAAGCTGTTTCTCCCAACCCACGGAGCGCTGATTTTAGACCTGTTTGTGCTTTTCGGTTTGTGAGTAGTACCCGGCTCTCCGGAGGTAGCGCACGCTCCACACGGATCTGCGTACAGGGCAGGTGATGGCAGTTTCAGGCTGCACAGCCCGTCCTGTACACGGCTTTGACAAGTTCAAGACAGCAGAAAATTCAAGTCAAGAGAGGAAAATGAGTTTTTCTGTTTGCAGCTGATGCATGTGGCTCTAGTGTAAGTGTGGCACTCAAGAGAGTCAATAGGAACCTATCTGTGATCTTATTCAGCTATTCTGTATTTATGTTTACCACTCATCCCTTTAACTCTGGGCTGCAAATCCACAGATTTGAAGTGTTTTCCATCACTTCTTGGATGTGTGTACAGTAATTTAAAAGAGAAGTTTGTCATTTTACAAACAATACATGACAGAGTAAAGCAGAAATGATAATGCTGATGCAGTTGATACTCTGCTGTATGATTGTATGAGTCAGAAAATACTGACAGAAAGAATTAAGGTATAGGGGGAACAAACTGTGCTATATTTTGCAAAATGTTCCCAAACCCTCCATAGCATCTTATACCTCTGCCTACCTTAAACTACATGACAGCTGCTTGCTAAATGATTTCTTCCCACATATTGAGTACTGTCAGGTTATATTTGACAAGAAAAATTAGTTATGTCAACTCTTAGAGAAGAAGCTCATATTGAATGCTATAGGATAATAGAAAAAATAGGACAGCTAATCCAGAGGGAAAGCTTATTTAGATAAATACAAAGGAATCTGCAAAGATGGATGTGTGTTGTTGCTTTCTATCCACTGACAATCTTCAGACACATTGTTAATCCATATGGATTCTACAGCTTCCCGTCCCTGATCAGTCACACCACATCACGAGGAAAGCAGCTGCCTGATGCCGCACTTGTCAACTCTAGCTGTTTGAGACAGACAGCTTTATTAAATCAAATCTCCAGGATGCCCCCAAATGAAAATGATATTTCTCTGAAGATAGATTTCTGGAAATAATATCAGAAAATGACAATCCTCACAAGGATGCCACAGCATGCCCAGAGGGAATCTGCTATCCTGTTAGTTTGTCAAAGCTGAGCTTACATGAGGATTATACACACTGAGGTGATCCTAAACAGAATCAGGCACATTATTAGCCCAATAATTACAGGGTTTAGGGCCAGATCACTGGATGCAGCTGGTCAGTCAGTGGTGACATTTGGATTCACCACGCAGCTCCCAAGAGGGATGACAAAATCAACAGCGTGAAGCTGCCTGTGCATATTAAACCCGGCTACAAACCAGAACTAATGTTGGTTGACGTGGCTCTGATGCCCAGCCTGTGAAATCACAATCTCATTTATGACACAGAAGCATCTGAAAGCCATATGAGGTCCTGACCTCTGATAAGACCAGCAGCAGGAGAATTTGGTCAGTTAGCCACCAAAACCATGTTGTAGGACTACCATCACTATTAAAGTTTGACACCTAAACCACTTCTTTATGAAATAAGAGGAGATAATGTCTGTAGATAAAGCTTTGTGAGAAGTTTGTATTTTGAGGAAGTGAAACCAAACAGAAGTCTCTACTGGAGGTCAAGATGATTTTATTGATTGCAAAGTGACCAGCTCATGCACCTTGGCAACAGTATGGCAACAGTATTGTCAGCCTTCTTTCAAGTCCGAGTGACATTAAACCTGAAATTTTCATTGGCTGCAATGTCTAAACATGAGTGTCTTCTTGTTGCTTTCTTAACATATGAATGAATAAACAGCAGCACACGTGTGGTCCTCTTTGTAAGTTTTCTGCTGGCTTTTTCTGACATGGTCAGTCAGTCCTGGTGAAGTCTTTGCACTCTGAGTCCGATTCAATTATGTTGCTACTTAGTACAAAGAAAACAAAAATAAAAATTTGTCTTTGGAGTCGTAAAGCAGGAAATAAGAGGAGATAATGTCTGTGGATAAAGCTTTGAGAGAAGTTTGTATTTTGAGGAAGTGAAACCATACAGAAGTCTCTACTGGAGGTCAAGATGATTTTGTTGATTGCAAAGTGACTAGCTCATGCACCTTGGCAACAGTATTGCAACAGTATTGTCAGCCTTCTTGCAAGTCTGAGTGACATTAAAACTTAAATTTTCATTGGCTGCAAAGTCTAAACATGAGTGTATTCTTGTTGCTTCAATTATGTTGCTACTCAGTACAAAGAAAACGAAAATAAAAATTTGTCTTTGGAGTCGTAAAGCAGGGATTTTGTTGTTGAGTCACTCATTTAAAAATAAGGAAATATCATGACAGGGTCAGCGTTAACTTTACCGATCGCTTCCAAGTATATTTTAGGACTAAAGTGGGTCAGATAGCCATGCTTCTAGCAATACTGGATCCACATATTATGGAGGACCACCAAACTCCATTCTGTGGTTGCTTCAGGTCTGTTTTTCTCAGTGTGGCTGATATCTATTTCACTCAGCTCCTCGTGTGCTTTTACATCCCTCTCTTATTTCTGTGCTGATTTCCTCCTCTCATCTTCCTGTTTCTACTGTGGACTAGTCAGCCAATGATCAAAAATCAAAAGTTTTGTGCTACCCAAATAAAAGTAATCTTAACAAAAAAGAAGGAAACATTCTATTTTGTTCAGCTTGCTCATTTAAAGAGTGAACAAAAGAAAACAGCAACCTTGTTTTTATCACAGGCAGACGATTTTTGAGAAAGTTGAGTTAAAATTTCTATTAAAGTTGGATGTTTTTATGATTTCTAAACTCTGTTTTCGTGCTCAAAGTTTAAACAAGGCAGATATATTTGAGCTTTAAATCTGACTAATCAGGGAGGATTAGGAGTCCTTTTTAAATTAGAGAATAGTGTTAGTTCAGGAAGATAAGACACATGGTTCGCAGAAACAGAAAACCCCGCATGGAAGCTTTAAAATAAGAATGTTTATTTATAGAGATGTGCACATCCCTTTATCTGTTAATCCCTAATTATCAGCATTACTTTTTAAATTAACTTTTAATGTGGGCTTCAGTTTGAAAAAGCTTTACCCAAAGCTTAAACTTCTATCAGATTCAGCCATGCTAGCATAAGTTTGCAAAGGTTTATTCATGTTTTGTGGGCGTTTACACCCATTGTTACACGACGAAAAGCAATTCATGCTAAAACACACGGATATGATCATTGCCTGATGTGGACAGTCTTCATGACAAGTTTCAACCTTGCAGACTTTCCACATAACTTGTTATTTCTGGCGCTTTACAAAAAGTCAAGCTCCCTAAATGTCAACACCCACAAACACTGGAATACACATATAAAACTCCTCTTATAGCAGATCCACGATGCCAAAAAATAGTGGATGTGTCATAAAATTGTGACAATTTAAGCCAAAAAAATAAAGCTCAGATGGAGCAATGTTTGGACCAGAATGAGCAGAAAAAGCAGACAAACGGACAGTGGAGCTGCGGTGACCTTTGCGTGTGGTTCTGTCAGAAACAAAAGTGAGGTTGGACAAAGTAAAAATAGTTTACCTTTCCAGCCAAGGCCTGAAAACCACCACGAGGCTTAAAATGGCCTTTATAATGGAGACACTCTGAATATAGACTGCTTTCATTATCAGAAGGACCATCTTTGTCATTTAGTTGTCAGTCCACCAGCGCAGTAACGCCTTCATCGCTTCTCCTCACGCATTTGTGCTCCAGGGGCCTGCGATGCTTTGCCAAGTAAATCTTTAATTTTATCATATATATACATATAAATGAATGTTGCTTTGCTTACATCCTATCTTTCCCTCTCCTGGAGCCCATTCCCTTACATGTGCAATGCTTCAGCACCCAGGAGACCTCCACCATGACTGAAAGGTTGGAGGAGCCAATTAGGTCCAGAATTCAATATTAGATCCATCAAGATCTGGTTATGCTCCAGGTTACAGTTATATGCTGACAAAGGTATGTCAGCTGGCTGGTGTGTTTGTACATTAGTGGTGTGTTTACGTTACATATCGATTCATGTCCTGTATACAGCAGTGCAGGAGCGAGAACCCTTACTTAGCACTTTGATCCGCAAATTAGATTGTATTGTGTATTTTTCCACGTATTTATTAGAAACCATAAAGAGCACAAGAGTCAATTAGTAGAAATATCTCTTTTTTTGTAAGGGATAGATGAAATAAGTGAGAAGAAGACGTCTTTGTGGTTAGAAAGCAGTCTGTTGGCCTTGATCTTCTGAAGCATGAACATCAACCAGACAAGACAGACCGCATATAGAGGACCATGAATCTTCCTATGGCTTACTCTCCTTAGAACTTGACACAATCTTCCCTTAAGAGATGTGGAGGTGCGTTCACTACTGTTAGGTTACACTGTCAGAAGCTGTCAGGTGATTTGCTGTACACGTTTGTATTGTATGTGTTCATAAACACACACACATGCTTCATGAATGTCATTGGACAGAGCGTCCTAATTGGCCGTTCCTCCTACAGAGCCTCCCCAGCCTAAAGATAACCTTTTGAACGTAACAGCAAACAATGTGGATCGGTGCAGAGACAGACGATGTGTAGAGGTTGACAGAGCGTCTATGAGAAGTACAGCTGAGGAGGAAGGATTAATAGAAAAGGGAAAGAGACAGAGAGAGAGAGAGAGAGAGAATGATCTCACAGGAGGAGATAAATTTCCTCCCAATTATCTAGCTCTGCACTGTCTTTGGTCTGGAACAGGACGTGGATGTGGATGTGGATGTGTGGACCATTCAAGAGGATCTCCCTGTAGACTCTAAATTAGCAGCACTATTTCAAGATCATTCAGACTCCAGCAGATGGTGCCTGTCACACACACACACACACACACAGACACACACACGCACACACACACACACACCCTCAAGGTGTGGAATGAAAAATGAATAACACCACTCAATTAGAAGCTCTTCTTTTGGCACTGATTATAGTTACTAGTACAAAGGGTTAAAAATTAAAAGAGCAGAGTGAGAAAAAGAGAGGCGATGACAAGTTCATCACTTTATTTGCCAACCTCTTATGTCAAGTGCTAAATAAAAGCATTGGATAAACTTCACAGCCTTTAAGTGGCAGCCAACTTGACATTTTCTTCAAGAGTCGAGCTGAACAAAGCGAGCATGGATCCTGCTGTCTGTATGACCTTTGGCTCTTTGCTTTGATAAATTATTCTCCAGTCAAACGCTTTCAGCCGAGGCTTATCACTTAAGATTCCAAAGCCTATGAAAGAAACACAGCATCAATTGACTTGTGCTTTTTGATGGGTTTCTCATTGTGGAAAACAGACAATGAGCTGAAAAAATGCTTTTGCAGCTTCACTCATCTTGTCCTTTTGGTCCTGTGGTCGCTGTGTGAGTGCTTGCTGCTGATTCCTACCAACCCCCTTCCTATCACGATCAACGCCATAATAAAAGACAGCCATTTCAGGCAGACCACCTCAGATAAGCAAACAGTACACTTCCTGCCCAGCATGAGATGGCAGAGAAATAAGGAGAACTGAAGGCTGGTGAAGGAGGTCAACAAGCATTGAGTATCTTGGGATGATTTTTGAGAAATTAAAAGTTGAAGCAGAGGTGGAAATCGGTAAAATGGAATCATGGGGATTTTTTGACATTTTTGTGAGGATGTCCAATCGGTGTTGTTGCCGAATGTTGTCAATAGGTCGTCTTTGGTGCGACATACACCGTATGATTTTGTGAATTTTGTGTTGTGTTAGAATGTGAACTCACACTGTATTAAGCAAATCGTTGAAGGTGTTCGACCGAAGCTCCTTAATGAGATGCTAACACAGTCTGGTGCAAATGTCAAGAGTGACCTGGGAGCTCACTCTTTACAGGTGCAGCCCCCAAAAAAGAGAGTATTCAGTCGGCTCTTTTTGCAGTCAGTCTGTGGCTCTGCTTATCTGTGGTATTGTCAGGGGTGAAAGTAAGATAAGGTACTTACAAGTACTGTACCCATAGACTTTGTACAAGAAGAGCACACCCAAGTTTAACGAGGTGCCGACAGTATCATCATCTGCTGCATCTCTCTTTCTCTTGAACATAAAATCAAATTTTCTCTGCATTTTGTTTTATTTCTGCTTTAAGATTGAAGCAGCTGTTTTTTTAAAAGTTCCCTCCTTCCGCAAAAGCTCCTAGGCAACCGGCATCCAATCAAAAGTGCGCACTGAGCGCGGCCACTTCTGGTGTTTGTTTGTTTGCAGAAGCAAATACGACTCACTCGCAAGCAGCATGGTCCCGTTGGATTACTACGGTTACACTGCAGAGTGCAGACTGACGTGCGCCAACACGGTAAGCTAATGTAGCCTACATACATTGGAGGGGGCGATGTTTGCGTACCGGCTGTAAACTGCTGTTTGTCTTCCTGGTACGGCTACCGCTGCATACCGGCTTAATTTCACCCCTGGGTATTGTTGGTTCTGGTGTCTCTCAACTTTATCTTGATGATAAATTCAGAGATTCTTAATGGGCAGGTTTGTTTTCAAAGTAATATCACAGTCAGCAAACCAGTTTCTGGTAGTTTTGGTGCTGTGGGAAGACTCCTACTGGAAAAGGAAATCTGTATCTGTGCTCTAAAGTCTCCTGGTAGACTACAGGCTGCATGGATTCTGGATTTGATTGTGGAAACTTCATGCTGGACATCAAGCACCTTGGATTCTGTGCCTCTGCGGTTGTTGGTTTCAAAATAAGATGCAAAACTCACATTCATCTGAAAATAGACTTTTGGACTGTGTGAGACCCTTGATGCTCTGACTCCAGCCTTAGTCCACTCCTTGTGAAGCTTCTCCAAGTTGTTGAATATGTTGTTTTTTGGCAATCCTCTCACGGCTGTGATCATCCCTGTTGCTTGGTCACCCTATCCTAACGCACTTTTCCATTTACTCAGAGTGCGGATTTTTCATTTTCATTAGTGATAAGCTGTCGTCATCAATCAAGACATCTTTAAATATTTCACTTTTTAGATGTAGAATTTATGGAAGTTTTGGAGCTGCACCTTTGCATATTAAATCAGGACATTGACTGTTGCAGCAAAAGAATACAACCTCCATAAGATGTCTAAGACACAATTATCAACTCCACATTAACAAAAAACAGAAATGTAGATGCTTCATAAAAGCAGAACTGTGGTGGAGCTCTTCAGAGTCGTGTTGGGTTGCATGACAGCTGATAATACATATATATATATATATATATATATAGGTGTTTCCATGGTGCTTTTAGATAGTTTCCATACATGCACAAAGTAAAAAAAAAAATAGCTTGAGGAATCAGGGCACTGCTCTGCTTTGAGGACACAATAGGTCAAACAACATTTCAACATGCCAAAAAATTATCCAATTCAGCCAGAAGCAGCTGAGCAGCCCCCGCGTTCACCTGCACACCACATGAACAGCAACACAAGACTGAGCAGAAAATAGGCCCGACTTCAAAATCAGTTGTGCAACTCAAAAGCCAGGTCAGTAGTTTTTTCATCAGTATGCATGGTGTATACCCTGCCTTATTGCTGGATGCATTAAGCACAACAAGCAGCAGTCTGTATTATCATCCATCAGCATGTCAGGGATCAATAAGGATGATTTAAACTAATCACAGGTTGTAGGAAAAGTTCATACATGATAGCCCATCACATGACCTTTTTGTGTAACAGAACTGATGCTCGATCCTGCAAATCTTATTTTAACAACATGGGCAAAAAATTTCACATGAAAAATGTTACCCTCTGCATACCATGTCCTCCAAGGAACAGGAGACAGTTTGTCAAGCCGTTCTTTCATGTAGCATGTGACAGAGCACGTCATTAACATGTGCAAAGTTCTGAGTCTCCAACTTTTAATTGGAGGAAAAAAAGGAGAACTTTTATAAAACAAGAGAGAAAGTCACCAGACAATTTAGGTGTCAGCTGATATACAAAATGCTCCCAAAATAACTGACTCGTCACCGGAATTTCACTGGGTCATACTCCTTTTCCTCTTCCTCCGGAGGCAGCCCTGTATTTGCACTGTTAATTAAAGCCACCAGCTTTTCCTCACATATTTCAACCAGCCAAAGTCTCATTAAAGGAGGGGAAAAGCAACTACGCCATGCTACACTCTCACTGGCTGTGTCGTCCGAGGGCTGGCATGCATGCTTTGTCGACATGCCTTAGTTATATTTAGCTTTTATCAATACTACTATGGATCTGCTCATCACGAGTGCAATTAATACGCTGGCTTCACTGCCTCTGTGACCAAGGCGGCTGGTCAGTGTAACACTGTAGGACTATTAGCAGCCTTAGATGACTGTGCAGGTACCACATATCATCAGATCTTAAAGGTAAAACCCCTGACCTTAGCATGTGGGTTTTTTCCCCAATAAAGAGTAGTTATATTCAGGTTCAGCAGGGTTTACCTGGGGCTTATTTTGTTGCGCAGGCGGGGTGTGTCAGGAACAATCAGGAACAGAGACACAACGTGTGTGCACCTGGATCCATTTCTATGTATGTGTGTGTTTTATGGGTTTGTAATGGAAAAGCAGCCACAGATGGTTACATGTGTGCATGTATGTGTGTGTGTGTGTGTGTGTGTGTGTGTGTGTGTGTGTGTGTGTGTGTGTGTGTGTGTGTGTGTGTGTGTGTGTGTGTGTGTGTGTGTGTGTGTGTGCAGTATTCAGCCTCACAAGAGACAAGTCTGGTTGTTAGGTTAGAGCTTCCCTACGATCTAATGAGGTCGATGGAGGCTTGTTACCAGCCTCCTCTCTCCTCTGTTTGCAGTAGGCTGGTGCTTTCCCATTTTTTCTCCTAAGGTTTGACTTGAGTGGGTAATAGCTGAAATCACCATTACAATAACCTTTACATCTCACCAATAACCCCAGTGCAGAGGTTGAATTCATAGCCCAGGTGCTTTTCTCTCTGCGCATGTTACATCACCGGCTTTTATCTTGCTCTTTATGCCCCTCTCTCTTCATCTAAATGTGACTCGTCTTGATGCTGCTTCTGATGGTCTCCATTTTTCCTTTTTTTTTCTACCTTTTTCTGACAGCACCTTTGTAGTAAGAAGTCCCATGTCAGGGTTAAAATTTGCACTCTGGACACCATTTCCAGGGAAACAGGTTATTGAATATGTCAATCAAATAAATGACTGAGTGGTCTCTGTTGTGCTTTTTCCCATCAAGTCAGGAAACAGCACTGAATTTAAAAAAACTCCTTCTATTAATATGTTCTGTTTGCTGTTGAAGTAAGCTATCTAAAAAAAACTTTAGCCATTAACCTGCAGATCTTTAGGTGCTTTATTAAGATTTGTCTTAGCCCTACAGAAGAAAATGCTGTTTATCTTCAATGTTGTTTTAACAAACCGTAGAAATAATTCATTTTTTTATTATATTCCATAATCTTTTCAATTTAACTATCTACTGTCTTCTTCAGCAACAAAATCAAATGCACCTTTGTTCACAAAGGCTCCACAAAGAAAGGGGCCATAATTGCAATGCCATGATAATGACACAGTAATTGCTACCCTGAAAGAGCAGGTTTATTTTCAGCACAGTAAAAGTCATAGCAGCGACCACCTACACAGCCAGTGTGTAGAAAGAGACTTGATAATCGCTATAACTTGCCCTTGTGCTCATTTGGCAACAAAGCTGGGGCTATTTTTGTAGAAAGAGGAATACAGGAAATAGACATTGACTTTAATGGGAACCTGGCATCTAAGAGGCTGGTCTGGATAGAAAACCAATTAAGATGAAGGCTATTGCAGGGCGGGAACAAGCGCTTTGACAAGTATTGGCAGGGTGGTATCAGCTTGAGGTTTCCCACCTTTTTTTGTTTTAAATTAGGGATTAGTGAGGGATTAAATGCTGCAAAACTGGAGAGGAAAAACTAATCACCTCTGGAAAGACAATTGTCCAGTTACTACCCAAAGAGGAAACATGGGCAAAAGAGGGCAAAAAAAACACTAAAAAGGATGTATTGTAATCAGAATCTCAAAGCTTCAATGCAGCTTGAGTTGTTGATTTGTCTGGGCTTATTTTCAGATAAGCAATGCAGTTTTTCGCCTGGTGTAATACTCTGACGCCTGCATGGTTGCCTCATGTTTAGATGACATTAGTGCTCAATGAGGAAAAAGGCCTGATAATCAGTTTCTCCTCCGTCGGATACAAATTACAGACATCATTTAAGATTCAGTTGGAGATTTAACTGCATTTACAAAACATTGTCTGTAATGGAAGCCATATAATAGCAGCTAATTTAGGAATAGCATTATTAATGTCTAGTTGAGGGAGGCCAGATTTAAGCCTTCAAATTATACTATTACTGGTTTTTTGATTGAGATAATACTAGGGTGCAAAAATACGGTTACAGGGGAAATAATAAGAGTGGTTTTTGTATTAGAAATTGAAAAAAAAAGGAATCAAACTTTAATTTTTTTTTCAATGAGGAGATACTTCAAAATTGTGAGAACAGGGAAATTACTTTCACTCTCACGTTATTCTACCTTGATATTAAAGTGTGTGCCAGTATAAAAAGATTATTATAACTTTGAGAGCTGAATTCTTCAAAAGGAGCAGCTGGTGATATTTAAAAAAAAAAAAAAAGAAAATCTCTGTCAATGCTTTTACGTGTGTTCGTAGCCGTTACTGAAATTAAAGCAGCTTCGAATAGCATGTCTTTATCTGATGAGAACATAAAGGAGCAAAATCCTACATGGAGGACACGTTACAAGAGACGGGACTCTCACTTGTGTTTCTTATCTTTTTCTGCTGGTCAGAGGAGGCCACGCAGCTCTCTAGTCAGAAGAGAAAAGACTTGTCAGTACAGTGGCAAACCAGACTGGCCAGATAATGCCTTCTGCTTTCATAGATCAGTCCTGAGGTCACCTGGGAATAGGCGGATACGGTTGGATGCAAGACCGAGGGATTGTGGGAAGAAAGTAAGGTCAGGCTATTTAAGGATTATATCCAGGACAGGTCAGCTGCTCACAGAACCGAGGTCAACCATTTGGCTCAAGTATTGTTTAACCTATTTCAAGATGAGCAAAGTGTACACTGCAGCTTCTTGCTTTGTGATCATTGAATAAAAACCTGTATATGAACAGGAGAGTGTTTCTTTGCACATGTTGTGATTTTTTAAATGACACGTCTCATAATACTCATAATATCTGCATTTTTTTCAAATCATAATCAGGAAAGAAATACATCCGTGCATGACATTTAATCAGCTTAAAGACTGCAGATTGCCAATTTCGGTGTCATGAGTCTATCAATTCACTACAGCATAAATATAAAATAACATGACCCTACTCTGCCTCCTTTGTCAATGAAAAGCCCATTAAAAGCCAGTGAAAGGTTTAAAGACCCATATTTACATAATTGCGACTGGACACAGTATTTATGAAGCATCATCATTTGCGAGCAAATTAAAGCAACTGACAATATTCAGCATAAAAATGTTTTTAAAATGTTTAATTCATCATATTTATGTTGACTTTCACTCTGGTTCTGGTCTCTGCTTGCCTCGGATATACTACTTTGGATCAAGTACCTCAGCGCTAGACACATCCATAAAACTGATCAATGTTTTCACCCAGAACAGAGTGAGACAGCAAAGAAACATATCTCTAAAAACATTAGACAGAGTAAGTGCTGGCCATTATGTATGCTATGCGTTTTGTCTTAAAGGTCATCATTTTTATTGCCTACCCTTAGTGGACTTTCCAAACCACTATGTTGATTCATTTTGCAGTATTGATGGCCGGACGATAAAAAACCAAAAGAGTTAGGTGTTACAGCTTCTTCGGACAGTTTATCTGGAGGAACGATTATCTTAGCTCGTGGCCCAGACTCCCCTTTTTTTATGGCTGCACATTTCACAGGTCAGTAGTTTTAAATATTCTCTGAAGTTTAAGCACAGAAAGTGGTTTTGGGAAACTTTGCTATAGTGAATCAACTAAAGAGTGTGGGCTTTAAAGAGACTATCCATCGCAGCCTTTCCATTTGTAAGTGAATGAGATATGTTGGACTTGATAAAGTTAGACGGTTTTAGCACCTGTCTTGATTTTGTGATCCCTCACTGATATGTATATTAGACATTGTCTATGGTAAACTAGTAGTGATGTATAATAGGACCCCGACAGGTTTGATTCTGATTGATCAGTGGTAATTCAGTCCAAATGGTGCCAGGGCCAATCAGGTAACACAGTCACAGCATATTTTACTTCCACCTTGGACACTGGATCACTAATGTAATAGCCTGGTAATAGGTGGGATCTTCTAGAAAACGGGATTATGGGAATTCAAATACCTTGACTTTCACGTCAGGGTCCTGTTCACTCTATTTGCATTACCATTATCCCTGTGTGTGTTTCATAAATGTTGTGTAAACATACAGTATGTCAGTCCAACATAAGCTTTATTTGAAACATCCTTCTCCCGAGTCAATTCCCAAAGTAGTCGTTGCTTTATTGTGTAATGACTGTGAGCTTCATTTGCAAATTCAACCAGGCGTTGACGTTTTTTATTATTTATTTAACAGCTGAATTTTGAACATCTATCTGTACTTTGCATCATTTGTTTTTGCTAATTAAACCACAGAGTCCTGCATATGCCAAACTGATGCAACAGTGTGATCCCGCTGCGTTATTCACAGACCAAGCGCTCATGTTTGATGAGTAGGTGGTGAGACAGTGTTTTAACAACAAGACTACCAAAGGTCAGAGGAGTGGATAGAACTGATGGCAGCACACATTAAATAAGTAATGTAACTGTATTCACATCCTTTCAGTGACATGTTTCTCATTCATTTCACAATTTGTTTACACGGCTACAGGGTTTATTTACTGGGACTCAAGGCTGGGCTCCTTTAGTTTCTAACTGTGATTGCCGGCCTAATTGTAAAATCAAAGTCCTAGTTAAATTGTGGTCACTGTAGGTATCTAATTATGTCTCAGGGATTTTCTAAATCAACGGCTAATTGACCACTGTTGATATGTACTCTCCAAACAACACACAGCCGCTTCTGAGCTGAGAGGACAATAGCGGATTGCAAAACTGCTGACAGGTGTCTGGCACAGCTTACGGCGGCCCCGAAGAACCCAAAACAATAGACACAAATTTTCAAAGAGTCACATTTTCAAAGAGGCTGAGAGAATGATAGCCAAACACTAGAGCGCTTCAAACGACCAGACACCATAATGGACGACAGAAAAAAATATGTGCTGTGACAATGTTTGCCTGTTTGTAGCCTTGTCTTCTTTTGTTTTACATTTTTAATTTGGGCATATTTGGACAACAGAGTGAGAGGTGTGTTGTCAAAGCAGGAAACCCCTGCAGCAGACAAATAATTACAGAGAAAGTGATATTAATTTGCTATACTGTTAAAGGCTTGCAGTTACAGAGAGGCTAATTTGTGCTCTGGTGAGTCAGTCTTCTATCTCGTCAAGCTTTATTATTTCTGAAAGGAGGAATACATTAATTATTTGTTGATTTGTCCATCAATTAACACACTTTCTATAATAAACCCAGGTGTTGTAGTGTTGTGTCATTCGCAAATGATTCGTTCAAAAGAACCAAATCTTTTAAGTGAACATATTTAACCGAATCACTTCCTCGAGTGATTTGTTCCTTTCTCACATTATTTGAGCTGAAGTGAGAAACAGAATTACCAGGCCAGCAGCCGGCGAATGAGGGACCACATGCACAAAATTACCACCACTGCTTAATTGCCACAACAACTTGCATACAATAGGACACAGCATGTAACAAGTAGTGCATTAAACCTGCAGCATCCTATCATTGCAGCCGTTTGCGAGGGAACAGTGCATGTTCAATGTGAATTCTTCTAAACGTTCAGTGAACGAATCACTCACTGACCCTAATTTACCGAGCAGACCTGATAAATAGCATACCATAGGACGGTACACTTAAAACATCATGACTTATAAACAAGTTTGCCAAAGCAACACAGCCAACACTCTCATCTCCCAGTCCCAGAAGCTCTGAATTGAACTGAATCCTGAACCGTTCAGCTGTGTATCAGTTCAGGAGGTCGGAGTGGCAGGCTTCTCCTGCTAAATGATTTGGAGATTTGGTGAACGAATCTTTTGAGCGAATCTTTTTCGTGAACCGATTCTAGTGATTCAGTATATCTAAAAGAACTGCCGTGCCCATCACTAAGGTGTTGAATCATGTCAATGTACTAATGGTGGTTACCTTTCCTGTGTTTCATTCCACATGAATAAGTTATTTAGCCTTGGCATTTTTCCTTTTGTCTGTCTCTCATCCTGGTCTATTACACACTGACTCACCTAGCTCTGAAATCAAACCCGTTAACCTATTCATTCATTGGATAGTTGGTAAAGGGGCAGATTTACAACTACAAATATATTCTCTTAAATGAGAACCACAGCTACTGAAACTGTCATTATTGTCATATGAGTTTCACTTTTGTTCCCCTGGGTTTGTTATCATGTTGTTGGCCAAATGCCATGGACTTATCTCTTCCGTTAAATGACTCCAGACTGGGCAGGAAGCCAATCCCTCAGACATCCTCAGCCCAAGAATTTTGATTTCCTGGCCAGGTGTTTGTCGAAAAACCTACTGGGCACAGCTCTGCTTTACTTTTAAATACTTGCCCAAGGATATAACCGATATCTCGTGAGTCTTGACTATAATCCTTACCTAAACTTGCCTCCTCTCATTTGATAAATCTAGAGGGAAGAGAAAGGCAAATCTCTGACTGAAGGGAGGCATCAGTTTTATTCAGGGCAACAGAACCTGATCATTCCAGCACATGGCACTCAGACAGCCACATTCATTACTTATTGAAGAGATTGGAGATTTTACATCTGACCTTCTTACTTTAGAGAGAGATTTCAATCCTTGTTTATGTCAACCAGTAAGGGTCCTCCAACATCAAACACTGCTACACTAAAATCTATAGGACAAAATCAGCAAAGAAAGGACAGTTATAGGCTTTCTTCATAGAGGTGTTAAAAAAAAGCACAATCCTGTCATGTAATGTGAAACCACACGCTGGGATGCCAATATCACACTTTTCTGGGGTCAGTCTCAGAGCACAAGGGTGAGCCTGATTCAAGGTGCTGTTGAGGGCTATTTTTAGACCAAATCTTGTGTGGTTAAAGTCTAAATGAAAAGTAAGAAAGCTTTCTGTTACTCTCCGTAATACTTTAAAAACATGTAATACTTTAATACTTTAAATACATTAAACTGATCATATGAGTTATATGGAGTACCTCAGGGTTCTATTCTTGGTCCTCTGGTCCTTTCCTTTATATTTCACACATTTCTGTCTTAGACATCCAAGAAAAGATCTCATGCTACAATTTTTTAAATAAAATGACATGGTTGCCTAAGTTTTCCCTTTGTCATCATAAAAAGAACCTGATTTGTACATTTGCATAATTCAGACAGTATCATTATAAGTTTTGTTTCCAGAACTGTGATTTGAATAAGAACATCTGACCATGAAAAAAATTTACATTTTGGCTTAATGTTATTTTCTTTCCACCCATATATAATTAGACTTCTGCTCGTGGGGATTCACTATATAATGAATGGTTTTCAGCATTCACAGATGTTAATTTTAAGATTTTGTTCAAGTTTATCCCCTGTGAATAATGATACTGCAAACTTCTTTAAAAAAATCATTGCCTCTCTCTCAGCCAGTGCTTGTTTTTTGTCCCCAAAGCTCATAACCATCTAAGCTTCTCTCACTCTAACTTCTCCTCTACTTGGCCTCTCTTTTCCCTCTGGCTTCTCTATGCTGGACCGGCGGCTGTTATGGGACTCTCTCTCTCTCTCTCTCTCTCTCTCTCCATCTCTCCCCCTGGCTGTCAGTGTCTACCTCCAGATGTTTTGGGGTCTGGATCTTTTGCCTGTCTCTTTCTCTCTCTCTGTCTCTCCTGTCTGTCTCCTGGTTGTTGTGTGCTTGAACTTTTGTGGGTTTGCCTCAAATGTCATCTTGCAAGTCTTTATCGACCCTATTACATTTTCTTGTCATTATGACTCCATACTGTCTGGACTGTTTATTTACATTTCTGTGTAGAATTAAGTCTTTTCTTTACCTCAGAATTATGAAGCCCATTTAGGCAAATTAGACTGTCTGATTGGACTAGTAGTATTAAGAATTTGTAGGGCAAGAATAAGGGAATTATCATACTATGATTATGAAACTTCAAGTGAGTATTTAACTATTCATAATTCAATCCTTACTCCAAGCCATGTGACAGTCGAGCTAAGCCTCTTTTGGCTCTTTTCTTTAATCCTCCTTCATGATTCAAAAAGGAGACACAACAGTAAGCACTGAATCAAGCAGCAGGAGGGTGTTTTAAAAAATTAAACATCCTCCACAATCGATTGGGTGGTTTGCTTTGAAAAGATGCCAGAGCAAACTCCTCTGTTGTTTTTCAGTAATTGCTTACTGGTTATAAGTCAGTGGAGGTACAACAGTCCTAATACACCAACCACAAAGTTTATTTTATCCATTTTTAACATTTTGGATGTTGACTTTAGTAAAGATTATTTGAAATTTTAGATGTTGGTTATGATTAAGATAAGTTAGTTGATAAGTATGGCAAATTCTCAAACCAGTACAACATTTAAGACACTATTCAATGCTTGAATCAATTAGTAATTGAGGGCTTCAATACTGCCAGTAGAGCCCTTTCCTCTGATAATCCAGTCAAAAACAGCAGAGGCCCAAGCACACTCCCTGGGGAACTGACTACTGGCAGAAGAAGAAGAAAAATGTTATGGCCAACTCAAAGCCATTGACAAGACATGCTGTGAAGCAGACATAGAGCTGTCATTATTGTCATATGAGTTTCACTTTTGTTCCCCTGGGTTTGTTATCATGTTGTTGGCCAAATGCCATGGACTTATCTCTTCCGTTAAATGACTCCAGACTGGGCAGGAAGCCAATCCCTCAGACATCCTCAGCCCAAGAATTTTGATTTCCTGGCCAGGTGTTTGTCGAAAAACCTACTGGGCACAGCTCTGCTTTACTTTTAAATACTTGCCCAAGGATATAACCGATATCTCGTGAGTCTTGACTATAATCCTTACCTAAACTTGCCTCCTCTCATTTGATAAATCTAGAGGGAAGAGAAAGGCAAATCTCTGACTGAAGGGAGGCATCAGTTTTATTCAGGGCAACAGAACCTGATCATTCCAGCACATGGCACTCAGACAGCCACATTCATTACTTATTGAAGAGATTGGAGATTTTACATCTGACCTTCTTACTTTAGAGAGAGATTTCAATCCTTGTTTATGTCAACCAGTAAGGGTCCTCCAACATCAAACACTGCTACACTAAAATCTATAGGACAAAATCAGCAAAGAAAGGACAGTTATAGGCTTTCTTCATAGAGGTGTTAAAAAAAAGCACAATCCTGTCATGTAATGTGAAACCACACGCTGGGATGCCAATATCACACTTTTCTGGGGTCAGTCTCAGAGCACAAGGGTGAGCCTGATTCAAGGTGCTGTTGAGGGCTATTTTTAGACCAAATCTTGTGTGGTTAAAGTCTAAATGAAAAGTAAGAAAGCTTTCTGTTACTCTCCGTAATACTTTAAAAACATGTAATACTTTAATACTTTAAATACATTAAACTGATCATATGAGTTATATGGAGTACCTCAGGGTTCTATTCTTGGTCCTCTGGTCCTTTCCTTTATATTTCACACATTTCTGTCTTAGACATCCAAGAAAAGATCTCATGCTACAATTTTTTAAATAAAATGACATGGTTGCCTAAGTTTTCCCTTTGTCATCATAAAAAGAACCTGATTTGTACATTTGCATAATTCAGACAGTATCATTATAAGTTTTGTTTCCAGAACTGTGATTTGAATAAGAACATCTGACCATGAAAAAAATTTACATTTTGGCTTAATGTTATTTTCTTTCCACCCATATATAATTAGACTTCTGCTCGTGGGGATTCACTATATAATGAATGGTTTTCAGCATTCACAGATGTTAATTTTAAGATTTTGTTCAAGTTTATCCCCTGTGAATAATGATACTGCAAACTTCTTTAAAAAAATCATTGCCTCTCTCTCAGCCAGTGCTTGTTTTTTTGTCCCCAAAGCTCATAACCATCTAAGCTTCTCTCACTCTAACTTCTCCTCTACTTGGCCTCTCTTTTCCCTCTGGCTTCTCTATGCTGGACCGGCGGCTGTTATGGGACTCTCTCTCTCTCTCCATCTCTCCCCCTGGCTGTCAGTGTCTACCTCCAGATGTTTTGGGGTCTGGATCTTTTGCCTGTCTCTTTCTCTCTCTCTGTCTCTCCTGTCTGTCTCCTGGTTGTTGTGTGCTTGAACTTTTGTGGGTTTGCCTCAAATGTCATCTTGCAAGTCTTTATCGACCCTATTACATTTTCTTGTCATTATGACTCCATACTGTCTGGACTGTTTATTTACATTTCTGTGTAGAATTAAGTCTTTTCTTTACCTCAGAATTATGAAGCCCATTTAGGCAAATTAGACTGTCTGATTGGACTAGTAGTATTAAGAATTTGTAGGGCAAGAATAAGGGAATTATCATACTATGATTATGAAACTTCAAGTGAGTATTTAACTATTCATAATTCAATCCTTACTCCAAGCCATGTGACAGTCGAGCTAAGCCTCTTTTGGCTCTTTTCTTTAATCCTCCTTCATGATTCAAAAAGGAGACACAACAGTAAGCACTGAATCAAGCAGCAGGAGGGTGTTTTAAAAAATTAAACATCCTCCACAATCGATTGGGTGGTTTGCTTTGAAAAGATGCCAGAGCAAACTCCTCTGTTGTTTTTCAGTAATTGCTTACTGGTTATAAGTCAGTGGAGGTACAACAGTCCTAATACACCAACCACAAAGTTTATTTTATCCATTTTTAACATTTTGGATGTTGACTTTAGTAAAGATTATTTGAAATTTTAGATGTTGGTTATGATTAAGATAAGTTAGTTGATAAGTATGGCAAATTCTCAAACCAGTACAACATTTAAGACACTATTCAATGCTTGAATCAATTAGTAATTGAGGGCTTCAATACTGCCAGTAGAGCCCTTTCCTCTGATAATCCAGTCAAAAACAGCAGAGGCCCAAGCACACTCCCTGGGGAACTGACTACTGGCAGAAGAAGAAGAAAAATGTTATGGCCAACTCAAAGCCATTGACAAGACATGCTGTGAAGCAGACATAGAGCTCATGCAAAGCTAACTGACTTCACCAAAAGATGAGTTAATCGACTAATGGACATTGTGAGGTGTGTAAGTTTGTCTGTGAATGTGTGTGCATGAGTAAGGCTGATGGTTGTTGAAAAAGTAGGGAGGACCAGCATTTTGCAAACCTTGCAATCTATTATGGTTGATGTAGAAGAGCATAACATTTGCATTTACAAGTATTTGGAAAGGGTACAAGTAAAGCACCACTTAAAAAGATGAGGAAAAAGTAAAGAGATGTAGTGGGACAGTTTTATTTTCAATGTACTAATCTTGATTTACAGACTTTGCATTAGTGCAACCTTTGTCTTGGCACTTTCCTGTTTCACAAGGCAGTTGTTGTTTATGACAGTACGCCTTTAATTATTGATCTAAACTGATTTTTGTTGATGTCCCCTCTCAAGTCCAACTTCTTTCTGGCTTCTGGAGTCCTTAGGTTGATGGTGAATAATGCTAACATCCAGTCAAGAGAGTTGTTAATCCTTTATCGCTGAATGCTAGGCCTTAAAAGTTGTCCATTGTTCCAAGCAGCTGCAGCCATCAGACGGTAGTTGATGGATGTCAGCTGCAGACATGACACTCGAGAAAATCAAAGTATTGCCTTACTCAGATTAAGTCCGGACAACTGGGGTGCATGTCAACACCTTAGTCCAACTATAATCAGAGTTTATATCGGACACCCAGATAATGCGATTGGAATTCGATTTTCTCTACCATGTAAACAGCGTAGTTGGAGTATGATCGATGGACACTGATTGTGCGTGTGTGCCATTTCCCCATATCTTCGGAACAAAAACACCAGAGAAGAGGAGTAACGTGCACCTCATTTGCAGAAAAAGTAGCGTATACATCATGTATGACAAAAACAACGCTGCACGACGCTCCATCTTCTTGCTCAAAAATGCCCAGCAGCAGTTGTGGCCATTTGACGTCTGGCACAGACCTGCTGTTGTTGTTGGGTCAACTGGAAACAGCGCCGCTGAAAAGACCCATATCACCCCTTAGTTTTTTTTGGGGGGGGACATGTTCACATCAATAATTCGATTTTCTCAGCTGCATGTATACGCAGACAAGGAGAGAAGTCCGATTTGGCGAAAAAGATGAATTATGAGCTTAGTCTGATTAAGCTGTGCATGTAAACGCACCGAGTGACTTTTTTTCTTTTTTTGCAGTATCAGTTCTTTGGCTCAGATGTAGTAATTTTCACAGACTTGTTGTCACGTAAGAAAGCAACCACAGTCGTGTGCCCTGAAAAACAATCCTCTTATATCTCTCTGGTCTCATAGTAGAGACTGTCAGTCAGTGTTAATCACCTCGACGTGTCACACATTTGCTTAATCAGACACACGACCAAATTAAATGTACTGTGGGATTTGCCATGAGCGCAGGCCAGCTTTGCAATCAATTGGGTGAGGAAATCATTTATGTAAATTTGCACAAGCACTGTTAATCATACCGAGCAGCCCCATGGGTCTGCTTGTCACAAATATTGGACTATTGAAATTTTTTTCTTTTACTGGGGACAGTTCTCAAAAGATAAAAGACAGCTGTGCTTGATCCCTCAGAGGGTGGGAAGCTGGTAAGGGATTAGCACCAGAGCACCCTACTAAAAGATAAGAGCCTGTGTAGAGGTAAGATAGATGGGCCAGAATAGTGAAGTATGACGCTATCATGGCAAAAACCAAAGGGGAAAAAGCACTGCCATATCACACTGCATTTCAAAGGACATAAACAAGTAACAAGCTTATGGTAAAGGATTCTGCAGGTCTCCGCTCTCTTTAATATTCCTCTCGGGGAACCCTGACTCGTTTATGTTCATTGGCCTTGACCCCTCGGATGAGGACATGATTGTTGTTGTCATTACCATCAGAGCACAGGTCACAGAGGACATCATTTAAAGATCAGGAGACGGTAAAGGCAACAGAAAGAGAGCAGAGGGTTGTTTTTTTTATGCCAGCACACCAGCCATCAGGCCAGCAGTGAAAACAGTCCCAAGCACTGTAAGTAAGGGTGTAGAGTGGACAAATAAGATTAGACAGCACAGGGCATCTGCAGGGTACACACACACACACCATGCACACACACACACACACACACACACACATACACATACACATACACACACAGACTGATATGCCCCTGAGCAATGCTCACTCATCTTACCAGGAGTACTCCCTCAACACTCCTTTTCTTTTATTCTCTCACAGCTTCTTTCCAAATCCTGCTTCTTCCTGCATGGAGGCTTTGCTCTGCCCTCCTCTGGTAACTTCTCTTATTAATTTAGCCGTCTGCTGGACTCAAAGACGCCAGATGCCCAGTTTTTGGTGCTGAAGTGCTGCCCAGATCATGACACAATATGGGTTTAAAGCTGTGCCGTCCTCACAAATCTAAAGTTTTACAACACGTCCCTTACATATTTCTGTTATACGGCTTCGGTTTTATGTGTAGTCACCAAGTTGCCATTTCTGCATGATGGAATAACATGCATTTAGCTTGGTTTGCCCTTTTTTAACATTCACAGTCCTTGCTGGAACAAGTGTGCAAACCTTTGTGAAGGGGTAAGATAATCTAATCAGTGCAGTGACATTCAAATGTACTGCAGGTTAAGATGAACCCGACCCTATTAAAGGATTTACAAATTGCTAAGAGAGTGTCCTTCGAAAGGAAACGTGTTCTGAAAATGTCTGAGGTCTTGAAAAAAATCAACAGTGAATATGAGAGCTTGGAATAAAAACACTTCACGCTCTTGTAAATTGTAAAAGGGCACAAAAGCATCTCTTAAGAATCTAGCCTTCATGTGCCAACAGACTGAGAGAATAATACTGTGAGAAAAGTCAAAGCGCAACACTCAGCGAAGGAGCGCCACGTTAACCTGAAGGACGTGGCGGCAGTGTGTAAGGCAGAGAAGTCAGACATGCAGACCTACAATAAAAACACATGACCTTTTTATTTTGTCCAGCTAAAGACATTTAAAACATCTGCCTAAGGAGCTTGAATGAAGCACTGTTAAGCATGTCAGCTTTGATAGAAGTACTATGAATGTCTGCAAGTGGAGTGATAAAAACCAGGGAGAAAAGGCAAAAAAGTATTGAAGGAAATCGTCAAATTAAAATTAGTGAATTCTTTAAGGTATGACCAAAACTCATGTATCATGTGCTCATATCTGCTTACTGTGTGATTTTCAAGTAAATGTAAGTGCTTATATTGTTCATGTTTAACTGGGATCTGGTATTCTGACAGTAGAAGCTAAAGATGATAAAGCTGACTTTCTGATGTGTCAACAAAGGCTGAAAGTGAAGAGGCTTTGTGAAAGTATATTTGTGGTAAAACTGTTGTATTTGATTGGATAACATTTCACTGGTGGTTATAATGTGGAGGCTCATCACTATTTTAGTGTATTTCAGTTGTTCACATCACAGCCCAATCAAGAAAAATCCATTAAGTGGGATAGTGACTCACAGCTCCCCTTTGACTTTGTGAGTGAATGATGTCAGCCAATCAAATTTCTGACTTGCCGGGAGTTAATCCGACTGGTCTGGAGCAGCTGATTGGGTCATGATTGGCTCTCTAAGTCCCCCTGTGCTCTCCTGGGCAATTTACACACAGTTAAGCTGAAATTAGGTCTGAAAATCAATAAACAACTTGAAAATTGGGTCAGTGTGAACAATGTGGCTAAAACAAGTCTGCTTAAGTCTTAAGTTTTGTTTTTGTAAGTTATGAGAAAACGGGCGAAACTGTCCTTTCATACAAACAGTGTTTACATCATTCCATGTACATCCTGTTGGCCTCTGGCAAATACATTTTGCCAACTGTTTTCATACATAACCTATCAACCAAGAGACGCCCTATGGACTGCTGACACAACCTAACAATCTGTAGACTAAGCATACAAAGAGTTGACGTTAACGTGGGAATTTAGCCTCCTGGCCAGCATGTCCCACCTGTCAAACAAGTCAGTTTTTCCCATAGACGATATATACTATGGACAACTTGGTTCCACCTTCCGCCAGTACACAGATTTGAAGCCAAAAAGCTCCCTGTAATTCTACGTTATTTCTCCAACAAACGTTGCACAGTAGCGTTGTAGGCACTCCACCACTTGCGCAGTAGAATTGTACGCATTCGTGAGCTACGCTATCTTCATACGCCCATAGGCTGTATCAAGTGTCAACCATAGAAAACATGAACCCCCCAATAACTTTTAAAAACAGAGCTGCACAGAAAAAAGAGGACTTGAACACAAACCAGTCTTACAGTAACTACATGTCCACATCGCAAGCAGGGCGGAGAAAAATTTATATTCTATGAAATAAATTTCTGAAGTTTGTCCACAGCCTCATAAGGATGGCTGGAGGAGGCGGGATTTATGACCTATACTGCAGCCTGTCACCAGAGGGCGCTGTTCTCGGAGTGGCTTCACCCAGCTAGGAGGCAGACACTGTCCATTCTATATACAGTCTACAGCTTTTCCCTTTAACAAAACCCTCTAATGCAAAATTCACAACCTTAACGACTCCACAAGAAAGGGTCACAAAAAATGACTCCCTGTACTTTGTGTCCAAATAGAAGAAAATAGCTATTCAGACCATTTGTCATCCATAAATTCAGTTATACTGTAAAATAAGACATTTTAACATGAGTGTCAATAGGGTCTACTTAACTTTTTGAGCCAGTCCTCAAGTGGACAGTTGTGGAATTGCAATTTTGAGCACATTCACTTAATTTTTTTAACATCCCTATTTTCCTCTGTAGGTGTCATGAATTTAGATCTAAATCTGACATTTCAATCATCTACAAGAAGTACTTTGCCAAACACCACGAAAAATATCAAACACAGAAGTGTGCGGAGCAAGCTCACATACAATTTGCATGTGCAATTTAGAAGCGACACACAAGAGAAGTGAGTCTAGTGCACTGGCATCTCCGAAGGTGGTGTGAAGTTGTCTTAAATAACTCTCTTAAAGAGTCCCTGTGCAAAAACATTTTTTGTTCAATTGAAACAGTTTTTTTTTCTTGCAAAGCAATCAGGAAATCTTTACACCTCATGCTGCTGTTTTTCTCAGCCAGACTTTTGCAGACATGCTGCTAAAGGCAGAAGATAACATGACAGATAACAGTCATAACAACTCCAACAAGGTACAAAAAAATATATATGTAGACAGACAGCCATCCAAAGAAACACTTACCAAGGTTAGAGAATAATTGCTAGTTTGAGGAAATTAAATTAGCCATTTAAAAAAAAGGTAAGATGTAGATTGGGATTTGAAATAAATTCCTGTCAGCGTGAGCAGACAGATGCTGTGAAACCAATTAAGATGTGAGTGATTGGGGAGCGGGGGTGTAAATGGAACTGGGAAATATAAGGGTGACGTAAACGTTAACTTAACCAAGTATAAGGGAGGTGCACAGCTAAGGGTTTTGTGTAAGAGGGTTTATCTTCATGTTTTTTTATGCTTTCATAGCATCAAACTGGAATTTAGAGAGCAGAAATAAGTGTCAGATCAAGTTTGTTACACTGGCGAAAACTGACAAGTGCTGTCTTTGCAACCAAAGACTGAAAACAGGCTTAAAACTGGGGCATTGGTTTGGTTTAGTGGTTAAAGCCCTGTTCTGCATGTCTTCCCCTGCTTTCGCCTTCCTACATATTCTGTCTCTTCAGCTGCTTTTTTTTTAAAAAGCCCCTCACTCCTATCCAAGAAAAGCAGACTTCAAGTTATACCCAGGAAAATCTTGTTTAGAAACATAAAACATTTTATTCAAGCCTAAAGCATGTAATCTTACATTAACTGCACACACTGTCCTTCTTCTTTCTGCCTTTGTGTGTTACATGATGCAAACTGAAAAATATATTTTTTTGTTTTTTCAAAGTCAAATTGATTCTTGTCAGTTCTATTTTATGTCAGCTACAAATGAGGATTTACACTCATCATTTTGATGAAACAAAAGGCATGTCTGATATCTGCTCAGATGGTTTGGTAGCTCAGCCCAACACCATTAATTAGAGTTTTCAGTAACTCGTTGATCTGTCTGTTGTGAAAGAAAGCTTCACTGTTCATTTGCCCTTCAATACTGACACATCTGACACTTGAAATAGCTATGTAGTTCGTATGTTGGTCTTTAAAACTGCACCATACTTCTTGGAGATAGCTTATTCCAGCCCTGAATGCCCGACTGTGACTGGAGAGCAATATTTTGTCAGTATTTCCCATTTTGTCTCCTGCTCCACATGTACAGGAAGCATGTATGCACCCACAGGCACAACTCCAATACCTGCCAACTGCACATGGGAGTAAGACAAATGTTTCCTGAACGCTAGACTAACCTTCTCCACCGCTCATGAGTCGGTGGAGATAATGGGCCAAGAAATGCAGCAAGAGCACTGGGAGAGGAAAAAGGAGGCTGCAGAATCGAAACCTGAACATTAACAATATAGTTGCCAAATATTTTTCAAAATGTGTTTTGCATGTTTTGTAAGGAAGGTAATGACTTGAGAATGCTTTTAGGATTTTTTGAAATGGCTCGCTATGTGAAGCACAATATGGATGCAGCTGTGTCTGTTTACAAAACCTTCATCCTTCACCCCACCCAGACGAAAACATGGTCTGTTCTCCATCTCCCTTTTGTAGCGTGGGGAACAAAAATGAAAACACGCATCTGCAGATGGATATTTTCAAAGGGTGTTTACTTGTGTTGTGCTACACCTCATGAAAAGACTTTAAAGGAAAACTTTTTCTGCTTGGAGAAGTAAATACAAGATGTTGTTGAGATTTCAGACTTCTGGTTTATAGTTACAAACACAAGGCGGCTCGCCGGCAGCCACAGGATGTAATTGACTCTCTGCCAAACTTTAAATAACCCACTTAGTCTTAATTTTGCTCCATAAAACCGTCTAAGATGTTTAGGATTGAATCAAGTTTAATGCGATAGATGTATGGTAGACTACTTTTGCATAAGTTTGTATGCATTACGACATCTTTTTTGTGATCCATTTGCTGATATGTAAATATAAACTCAAATAATCCCATGAATGAAAAGTACATTAAATTGCTTTCCTCTTTGTGTTTTTCGCAGGGCGCACACCTGCCCTTTGTCACTCACAGCTAATGGATGTCTTTACCCAGTATGCCTACAACGACAGTTTCTTTGACAATGGGACATTCAACGAAACAGACCAAGAGCAGAAGCATCCGTACAACTACTATGCCATGCTACTCACCCTGCTCATCTTTGTCATCGTCTTCGGCAACGTGCTGGTGTGCATGGCTGTGTCCAGAGAGAAGGCTCTGCAGACCACCACCAACTACCTGATCGTCAGCCTGGCTGTTGCAGACCTCTTGGTGGCCACACTGGTCATGCCCTGGGTAGTCTATTTAGAGGTAAGATATTCTCAATAAATGCACGTTAAAGGTGGGGTATGCAGGATTCCATTAAAGAAGCATCTTTTTTTGTGGTGTATTTACAAAAAAGCTTTTAATATCACTCAATAGCTATTGGTTATTGATGACATTTGGTAATATAACAATATCACTGTGTTTTGTTATGTCTGTGTAGTCAACATTTAAAAATTTTTGAGCAGCCCGCTCTTTCTGACTGTAAACAAAGCCATTCTCCGCCTCCCCCAACCTGATTGGTTGTGAGGCAGACGCTGCTTCTTTGTGCTGATTGGTTGTGAGGCAGACGCTGGTCCCCCGTGTCGTTCACAAGCCCAAACAAAGTTAGCGTGCTACATTATCGAACAGTAGAAACCAACCAGAAAGTACAGAAAATTGTCTGAATCCTCCTTTGGCCAAGACTGCCAACACAAGCAAGAAAACGAAGTAAAAAACGGAGACTCTGGCGGAATAACGGGTGCTTAAAAATGAGGTAGACAAGACAAGAACCAAGATGCCGGGTCAACATCAGCATAATGTTAGCATAAACAATGGGTTGAAGTTAGCCAAGTGTCTGTAACACAAGTGTTTCTTGTCAAACGGGACCTGCTGCATGTTGTAGCGCCGCTAAACTGTTTACCTCGGGTCCTGGACTATGTTACTCTATCCTAGTTGTAGAAGTCCTGCAAACATTGTGTTTGCTCGTAGTCTGTTGGCATCTACAGTAGCACCAATGCTTTTTATTTTCACATTGACTGGGCTCCATTTGTAATTATCTGAAGCATTTATCTGCATTATATCTGAATTTAATTGTAACGAGACGAGCGAGCAGTAGCGTATATTTGTGGGCGGGGCTTGCTGGAGCAGAGAGGGAGGGGAGAGGAGGAGCTTTTACATGTAATTGGACTACTGCAATAAATCGATTTTTTTTAAGTGCATGTAAACCGAGGAATAGATCTACTGTGAGTGACGTGTTTTCCTGTTAAAAAGAATCAGGAGGAAGTTTGTCATCAGACAACACCGCTCACACATATTCAGGATGAGTTCAGCTCAATACATGTGCCGGGCACTGTAGCCCCAGAATGCCACATTAAGTACTTAAGATGACAATACAAGCTACGTTTCCCTTCAAAACACAATTTAGTTTGGCAGCAAGAGGCAATACAATGTCAAAGCATATCCTGCATATGACAAAACCTGGTGGCAGTAAAGTACAAGGGAAAAAAGATTTAAGTCGAGGTAGCTGGCAGCAGTAAGCAGCAGGTCAGAGGCACAAGGTGAAACAGGGGTAAAGGCTTTATTGTTCACATCAGCATTGTAAATATGAGCTCTGCAGGGCTTTAAGGCTTGTAATGTAGCAACAGCATGTAACAACATCAAAATGTCAGACCTGTCTAGTCAGTTAGAGGTCAGACAGCTATGAATAATTCCTCCTGATTCTAGAAAAAATCTTTTTTGTATTCACTGCTGGGTCGGATAATGTAGATTTGTTTCTATTGAAAAAGCGATCATGACACATAAAGCCGTTCAACCAGTAGGGACTAGACTCAGGTCCAGCATAAGCATCATCTCCAATCTTCCAAATCAATTGTAAGCAGGATGTGGGCTATCTTTCAGAAAACTCTCTCTTCTCTATTTCTCGACGGTTGCTCATTTCTTCTGTATCTCTTCTGGGGTCCTGAGGTTATTTCTGACCATCAGGCTTTAGATCACGCTGTGTTGTAGAGAAAGACAATCGAAGACTACAGGGACTCTTATCCTTCAGAGTCTCTGAGTGAGTCATGATGATTATCACTCCGATCAGATTACAGAGAGTAAATCCATAGGGTGTCATGGTCTCTGATTGCCTTTATGCATGTGTGTTTGACAATTAAGTACAAAGGTGGTAGGAAACGTGTCATTTTGTAATTAGTCAACAAGTCAAGCTTTATGGGAAACACACGTATTTTAAAACACACATGAATTAGAAACACAATCAGCTTTTGTTTTGCAGATAAGCGCACAGGTGTAGTCAATCTTGTAGTTTTGCCCATCACTTACAGGAAGCCAATGAGGGGATCGCTCGTTTTAGTTCATTATTTGGCAGCTGCATTATAACCTTGCAGTAAACTAACCGAGGCACTTCAACAGTGAAATATATAAAGGAGAGAATAAAAGGTTAACACTTTATAACTATCCATTATAACTAGTTAATAGATCGTATGTAAACTGTTAATTAGTGAGTTATTAGTGACTTGTTAAGTATTTGTTAACAGATTGTTAAGGATTTATAACAATGCCTTATAGATAGTTAATATATCATTAATAAACTGTTAGTAAATGAGTTGTAAATGTTATAAATTGTTAACTGTATGTTAATGCTTTATAACTATACCTTATAAATTAGTAATAGATCGTGAACAAGCTATCAGTAAAATACTAATGACTTATTAAGTATCACTTAGGTTCTTGCTCATATTTAACTGTTCAGTTTTAACTAAAGTAAATTCTCATGTGTGGAGAAACCCTGAGGACAGCAGAACATGAACCACTTTTTACAGCCATAAAAAATACATCAAAATGGAGGTAAATAAGTCCCGCTTCTCATAAAAGAGGCTTCTTCTTCTTCTTCTGGGCAAGTGAAACTTAGTACCAATTATTTTCATAAGAGATCTATTTGAGCTTCCCTTAGTCTGATCCCTTTCCCAGGACCTGTTTGCCATGGGTGACCCTACCGGAGGCATAAAGCCCCAAACAGCATAGCTCTTGGGATCATTGGGATGCGCAAAGGACCAGATTAGTTAAAAAAGTTTTACAAGTATAAGTCTGAGAATCTTTGCAGTAGTCCTGATTTTTGATTAAAAGGGGCCAAATGACTCAATCTCTGTGGTGAAGATATTCAGTCCAATTTAAAGTATTCCAAATTCTGATGAAGATATCAACTCTTTGATGGCAGGACATATTTATAAACTGACTCAGCTGGTTTGAATAAAAACAGGTCAAAGCATCATCAGCATAACACATAACATGACGTGTTCCAGTCATTGATGGATTTTAAGAAGGGCTAAATGACGAAGGAGACATGATTGATATCCATTTTCAATGAAAACAGTTTCAAGACTGCACAGAAATATATCAAATGTATTTAATGCCAACCCAGATGAAACATTTATGTTGTGATGCTATGATCAGTGGAGCCAAAGGAGGGATTCAAGTCAAAAAGATCCAGATAGCTACTCATGGTTGGTACATCAAAATCAAAGGGACACACTGGAAGACACTGTTGAATACATTTTTACAAATAAGGTCTATTCCTTAGACAGACAAATTTTGATTTTAAAATCCTATACACCCTGTTCATGAGTCTGTTTTTCACTTTTTATGGTGACCAGTAGTGCCTGCTTGGGGGCAGATTGAGAGCAGTTTTTGACAAGGGGTGTTCGCAATACTCGAGAGTGAGGGACGACGGCAGCCAAGGATTTTCTTTTTCCCTTCCCTTTGTTGATGGCCTGTACAGCTTTTATCAAATACTGAGCAGCCAGCATGCCACACTGTAAGTGTGCAGGTGTAGCTGTTCCTTTGACTCCAGCCAGTGTATTGGTGAGCCACAAGAGATTGTCTTGAGGGGCTTCCCAGGAAATTGAAGCAGCAGAATCTTCACTCTCAGTGGACTGGGGTGAGGAGTGCAGGGGTTTCTAGGATTGCCTGGGCTTGGTACTCAGTTTCAGTGCACCACATTAACAGCCTCTGGCCCTTTGGATCAACCACAGTGATGTCTTCTGCAAATTCTATGTTGTTATTAGTGTCGCATTTCCAGGCATAAAATAGGAACAGCGTCGGACTCAGCATGCAGCACTGTGGGGAGCCGGTGTTGAGTGTGTAGCTGTGTTTGAGAGTTTGTGGGCAGTTTGTGATAAAATCTTTGATTTATGTGTAGTTGGAGTCAGTTTTGATCAATAAGCAGCATCATATCTCTTTATATGTTCCAGGGGGTTGAGTGCCATGTGTACAGGTCCACATCCTAATCCAGTGTTGAATTCAGTGTTGAAATCTATGTTAATATTAGCAGGATCAGCTGTTTCAAGGTTGGGTTGGTAAAACGAGAATGTTCTCATGATGTGTTCAAATGTCCAGAAAAAGGAAACATGTTTTATGTTGAAAAATCTGTATGAATGCACTTGTTTGAAGGAGAACGATTGTAGGAAAGACTTGATAGCGGACTTGAATCATTAAGAAGTCTTGATAATGGTATCAGGAATCGATAATAATTAACAATCTTCATCCTTACCCGTGACTGGATGTAAAGTTGTGGTAAATTTGTCGTTTGTTAAATTGGTATTTTATATCTCAGCTTTGGCAAAGAAAGAGTTAAGGTCCTCTGCAGGAAAGGTATCAGTGATGGGAACTTGTGATATCTCTGCCCTCGTGACTTGTAGCATGTTGCTCACTCTAACTTGCGTCACTCTCCTGAAGTGGTCTTGGTCTTTATCTCGTCAGCCCTTTTGTCATCTCTGATGACTTCAGCTCTGGTAGTGATGTCCATTCTTGGCATCCTAAGCTTTTAAGATGCTGGTTTTCTGATACATCAAAAACCTAGATGCATTTGTTCATGATTACATTATTGTAACCTGTTCGGATTATGGATACTTTTACCACTGAAGACAACAAATTTATTCCAATTTTGAGTGTTTTGTCTGGATCATTTGTATAAATAACCACACTCTGTAAGTGTGCCCTTGCTGCATACAATCTGTATTCTGTTTGTTTTTATCGGAATTATCTGCTTGCTGTTGTTTGTGGGTAGCTGAGTACACACGGCGGGAGCTCACATCAAAGCACCTGTGGTGGGAGTCGAATCATAATCAGTCACATATCAAAGCTCCATTTGTGGCGTAAAACTCTCTTGATCCAACAAAGAAAGCCCGTCTCTGATGGTGCTAACTGGTTTTAACTGCTCAGGTGTGTATGTTTGACTGCTATTTTTGTTTAGAGTAAAATTATGGAGTTTTTAAAGTGTGTTTTTGTTAACTCTGGTTGAAAATGCAAACCCTGCAGATCGACACAAGAATGCTTTAATTATCCACTCTTGTTATTCCTCTGAAGTCTTAAGCTCTTTTATTATCCTTTGGAGAAAATCACAATCATTATTCAGCATTATCTATTTAAATTAGGATAGAAGCGAGCATTTTTTAAACACAGCTTTTGTGACGCTTGAATCGATAATGAACTGATTTATTGTTGCAGTTTCATTAAGTTATTGTGTCCTTCCTCCTTTGCTTGATTCCCCCCTTCAATTTATCTCATAAAAGTTTAAAATAAGGAGTCCCCTTGTTTTATTATTTTGTCAATAACTTGAAGCAACTTTGTATTTCTTATGTTTTGCTGCTTTGACAATCCTTGAAATCATTTGAAGCTGGATTTTCACAAAAAGGATCAATAAATATGGACCTAAATTATAGATTTGTTCAAGTTACTCTTTAGTGGGTAATTTTAGGCACAAGATTATTTCAGTAATATATTAATTCATTTTGGTAAAGAACACATTAAATGTCAAAAAATTGTTTGTATCTCACTTCAGTGCCCGCATGTGGACTCCTATATCCCAGCTGGTCCATTTAAACAGTCTCAGATAAAAGCTAACCCTCCATCCTGCTTTCTCCCCTGATCTGTTTTACCAACATTTACTCTCTGCGCACTGATAACAACTATTTGACTGAAGCCTCCTGGGTATTATATATAAATAAGAAGCTAAAAGCTGAGCGTGTGTCACAGTCAAAATGCATCCCTGGTGTGTGCTTGGAGTGGTACACCAAACTGATTTTGGCGTTTTCTTCTTAGACTGACAGCTCAGCTGTTAATGTAGAGAGGGATAAACTGAGGCAGCAGCAGTCGGAGTGGTATAAATCCTTATGAATAAGAAAGTACGTGTGAGAAATAGGAATGATGGTACCACTCATCGCTTATATTTGTATCTTCACAGTTCCTATGAGGTTAATCTGCTTGTTCATAGAAATCTCTACATTTAGGGGAATATTTTAAAAGGTAGGATAACGTATATCTTGTTCTCTAAAATAATTACAACCATGACAGCTTTGTTGGGGAGGTTTTTTGATTTATTCATTTCACCTTCTGCAGGACAAGCTTCTTCCATCAGAGGCATAGTCTAAAACTATGTGCAGCATCAGAGAAGCACTTTTAAACCAAGATCAGACTGTATTTTGTCATGTGTTATGTGACAGTGCTGTGCTATCTTGTTTGTTGTATTCTTTGTTTATGTTCATACTTTCAGTGACTACATTTTCTGTGTCAAACTGCGGCTGCTGATAATGTATCACTGTGAACTACAATAAGAGCTTAGTCACAGAGTGTGGGCAGGCCATCCAGTTTGCCCTTTCCTATTAAATGCTGGATTAGCATCAATTAGCACAGCTTTTCGCTTTCTGCCATGTGTGACTAATTTAGGCAGCATATGGAGGGGAAATTACCCAGGTCTCCAGGTCTAGAGTTGTTTAAAATTACAATGAATAAAAAGGCAGAGTCTTTTTTGTGAGGGTATTTGAATTTTATGCCTGATCTCACCTTTGGACAGGCAACAGTAAAGGTTAATAAACCACACAGACCCCCCATGGACAACACACATAAAGCCAGTCAACCCTCGCAAACAGAATTTAAGTAATTAAAACACAAGAGAAGCATCTGCACAGCACATTAACAGTTTTACCTGGTGTGGTCCTCATTCAGCCCTTTCATGCACTTATTGCAGCAAGTTGCAAGGTCAACAGGGAAAAACTTAAGAGTAGGAACATCACATAAAAGATACCAAGCACTAAACTACTTCGCATTTCACGATAAGCATAACTTAACTGGTCTAAAACATTTAAACTGTGACCCTGACTGTACTTTCTGGAAGTCTAAGGGTAGAGCTTAGCGTCTAGTTAACAATGAAAACCACTCACAAGATGATTTTGAATATAAAGCAGCAGCAGTTGAACAAATCTATCAAGTTGGAGATGATAAATATGCAAAATCAGGTTACAAGATAAAGCAATCAAGTTTGCAAGCCTAGATGTGAAAAGTTTATTTCGACTTTGAATCTAGTTTGTGAAAATACATGTCCAGTGCTGGGTAGGACTTTCAAATGAAATTATACGATCAGGAATGATCAATATGCAGCTGCAGGTTAGAGTTTTAAAATAGTGGCAGTAATGTTAAGTCCCATTTAAACTTGAAATAGAGTTGGTAAATATTTTAAATGTTTAAATATTTGCTCCCATCCCAAACTGCACACTCACTGACTCATAGACTTTGAGTCGTGGTCTTTCCCACTGTCACATCATTATAAAAACCACAAAAGCTCTGACTTTACAAAACCAGCACTTTCAATATACAGGTGCAGCTCAAAAATAGGAAAAGATGATCACAGCTTCAAGCTCGTAAAATCAAAAATTTACTATCTCCAAATTAAATAAGGAAGCAGATACATAATAAATAAGAATATGCCATCTGCATATGCATATGCACACTGGGAAGTGCGAGTTAAATTTGAGTGGGTAGAGAAAGTGTGCATATCCTGCAGTCATCATTTCACAGCAAGTATCCTTTTTTAGCGTTTGTTTTAATTTCATGAGACACAGGGCTGTAAAAAGCCAACAGGATCTGTTACGCCTTGTGAGGGTTTTAAAATCCGTTGTTATGGCGCTGATTAGGATGTAAAAAGGGCCGTGTGCTGGTGGAGCTGGTGTAGAATAAAAAGGAGCTAGGAACTGAGGAGAGGAAAGGACACAGATGAAGAGGACAGCGAGAGAGAAAAAGAGGAAAAATGTCAGGAGCAAAAGGTTGGAAAATGTAGGTAAAAAGCAGCATGAAAGGAGAAGAAGTCAGGGGAGAGAAACGCACCCATTAGGCTGTCAGATCCTTCTGCAATCACTGCTAGTGATGCAGACAGCAGCAACAACATACGGCTCCTTAAAGTGGCGCTTAATTTTATGAAGACGAGGCCTGGAGGCAAAGATTAATCATCCACTGAGAGGTAAGAGTTTACCCCCCACCCATCACCCATCACCCCTCCCTGCCTGAAACGCACACATCTCCTTTGCCCTGTTGCGAGACGTGGGAGGAAGCAGGTGGGATGTAGTGTCAGGCATGGTGGGTGACATGTCAGACAATCACTGGTGATGTTCGGTTCATGATGGGATCAGAGCATGTAACAGGCAGCAAAGGGGGGATGAATACAAATTGCTTTCGATCAGGGCTTTGATTAGAGACCACCTGAGGCTGCAGACATGGACGAATAAAAAAGGATGATTATCTCACCTGATTTACGCTAATCTTTAGTGACCGATATAGTCTTTTGACAGGAGCTAAGATGTCAGTGATAACCAATCTTCATTCTTCTGTATTTACACCAATTTTCCTGAAATAACTCGGTAAAACAGATTCTTTAGGTATCTGACAGTCGTCTATCACCTTTTAGACACCTCACACCTCTTCAGTCAGTTTTCTATCACACCCTGTTTACAACTCAGAGCTCACTCCTCCACAGCGGTTGTTCAGTTTTTCACTTTCTTTCCTTTTGATGTCAAATCGAGGGAATTAATATGAAGCATACACAGAGACTTGACTTTTTAGGATTGCCTTTTGTTGCAGGAGAAAAAGTATCATTTGTGCTGCGGCTTTGCTCTGCTGACTGTTTCTTGTAATCTGCCATTGTGTTGATGTTTTCTTTCTTCCAGGTAGTGGGAGAGTGGCGTTTTAGCAAGATCCACTGTGACATCTTTGTCACTCTGGATGTGATGATGTGCACGGCCAGCATCCTCAATCTCTGCGCCATCAGCATCGATCGGTGAGTTTGTCTCCGCAAAGATTGTTTAGCCTTGCCTCCTGTGCTTCCTGCATTGATTTTCAGTGGAAATCTTTACCCTTTTGAATAACAAAGGAGAACGGCTGCCTTTGCTGATTATCAGAGCCCATATGTTTGTATACAGGTTAAATGCCTCCCAACAACACACTTTTGGATGTGAATTTAAATCTAAGTGCACGCCTGTTTCTATTACTGGCGTCCAGATGTTACAAGTGAAGCAATGCGGACAATGTGTTTAACATGTCTTGGGAAGGTTTGAGTGGAAGGGTTTTTTATTGTTGCACATTTTAAGAACAAATCCATTTCAGATCTGTCTCAGGTGGTGTTGCAGACAGACATCACTAAGTACTTCATTATGGTTTTATGAGTGATCCTGTTAAATGGTGAGTTTGAGCTGAATGCACTGGTGGGTATTATGGTTGCAACAGCTGCTGAAACACGGCCAGAGTCCTCATGAATGTATCATCATTCAGTTTTTATCAGAGAACTTGTCTTTCATTTTTTATCGAGATGGTACCCCAGAGATTCTGGCTGGTCAATCAAGCACAATAATACTACGGTTGGCAAACCAGTTTCTGGTAGTTTGGGTGCTATAGGCAGGTGCCAGGTTCTGCTGGAAAAGGAAATCTGTATCTCCATAAAGCTTTTCAGGGAATGGGAGCATGAAATAACTTGGTAGACTTTAGGCTCTGGATTTGATAAAACACAGTGGACCAACAGCAGCAGGTGACACGGCTCCCTAAACTACCACTGACTGGAGAAACTTTTCTCTGGACTTTAAAGGGATATTCTGGGGTAAAATTAAGTTAGGGTCAAACACACCGCAACACCAAGTTAGACACCCAGTCGAGAAATGAATGTTGCCGACTGCTTGCTTCTATAGTTATACCAACTTTAATAATGATCGCAGACAGCAATACAGAGAGCCAAGCACTCAACCAAAATGCCACTCTAAAGCCACAAATAATGCTCAGAACAGCACCTTACTTCATCAACAGTACATATAGGGTCCTAGCCATAGTACTAGCGACCAAACATCTTTTCAACTTTGCCTAATTTCTTTAGCAAAGAGACTAAACACAACTCACCTACTCTCATTATTTGTGGCTATAGAGTGGCTTCTTGGTTGAGCGCATGGCTCTCTGTATTGCTATCTGCGGATGTTACTAAAGTTGGTATAACTAGAGAAGCAAGCGGTCGGCAACATTCACCTCTCAAGGGGGTGTCTAACTTGGTGTTACGGTGTGTTTTACCCTAACTTAATTTTACGCCCGAATACCCCTAAGCACCTTGAATTCAGTGCCTCTCTGATTTTCCTCCAGGCTCTTGATTTCCAAATGAGATGCAAAACTTATTTTCATCTAAAAACAGGACTTTGGACCACCTAGCAATTTTCCAGTTCTATTTCTTCTTAGCCCAGGTGAAACACCCATGATGTTCTCTGGTTCAGCTGTGTTCGAACAGTAAAAAATAACACTATTTCTGAATCCCCCAAAATCTTGAATCTGCTTTGTTAGTACATCCTTTCAAAGCTTTTTCAATTAGCTGCTCTTTTCAGGACTGAAATAACTGACAAGAAACTGGACTTTTCCACAATAATCTTATGTTTTGAGATAACGGATTTTTGATTTTTGGACTTTAAACCGTGATATTAAAAAAAACACATCTAGAAATTTCAAACATTGTGTCTGTTAACTTTAGAATTCATGAAATTTCCTTTATTTTATTTTCATTTTTTAAATGAACTTCTTACAGACACTCTACGTTATGGAGCTGCACCTCTACATGATCAAACACTAGCTTATATACATGCAGAGCACGAGCAACAAGAATACATTATAAACCATCTCTCCAACCCTTTGTAATATTTGTCCAAAATTTGCCAACACTGCAGTTCTTTTTATATGCCTCAAACTCCTGGAAAGGTTTTTTGAACAGGATTTCAATCAAAGGAAAGCTTAGCGACAAAGAGGAGCTTGTCTTTTCAGATCATGTCAAGTCTGAGCTCTCAACAAATCAAAGTGGGACCTGGGTTCACCCTAAATATGGCAATCAGACATGTTTGAGCTGTACAAAAGATGTAACAACTCCCATATTTTTCTTTCAAGAAATTCTATCAAGTTTGAATTTGCATAATTTTCTGCTCGGATGCATTTTGAATCCATATGGGAAATAAATAGAGACGGTGACATGTGGACACATTTTGAACTCTTACCAGGGGTGACAAGATTAGAATGGAAATGTCTCTCAGAAGTGGAGAAAACATCATTAGTCTCAGTGATCTCATTTGTCTTTGTTTTGTTTTTTCAAATGAATATTGCGAGCGGAAGAGAATGGGGTCTAAATTAACATTCAGATGTCATTTATCTTACTTGAGTCTCCTTTTTGTTGACTTGAAAAAACAAAGCGCTGAAATAAGAAGTGGGACAGAATCAGGGACTACTTCGCCTGGTGATTTATTTCAGGGTCCAGGCTGATTTGTGAAGGTTCGGATAAGTCCTCTTTATTTTTAAAAGCATCAAAAGGTTGCGTCTGCTCAATTCAGCAAATTGGAAACACAAAGGGAAGATTACGAAAAACTCTGATTTGTGTATTTGTGTACACAGATTCTTAATTGTAGCGACAATAGGAGAGCGAAATAGGTTGGTTTGTTATTAAGTTGTTGTTTAAAGACAAGCACGTTAAAAGCATTTGGAGTTATTGTGTTCCCCAACAATGGCCACTTAATCAGCAATTCACATCCTCTTCATAGCAGAAGGCTAATGGGCCTCAGAAATGGAGTTTGTGTGGGAGGTGATATGAATACACACATGCCAATAAGCAGAACTCTCAAAGAGTCGCCAAAAAAAAAAGACTGTTTTTAAGATGAATCACAACACACTTCCTTATGTCCCAGGGGCATCATGAAGTGCAATAAAACGCTTTATAAGATAATTATACCAGAGCAGTTTAGTTTGTACTTTAGAGACACATAATGATGCAAAGTATCTTTGGGTAATTTTTGCATCTTGTCATCATTTCTCTTTTCACGCAATTGCACTGATGCTCAACTTTCTTTTGCAATTCAGTTAGCCTGATGTATCTCTGCTTTAAGGAGTGTCAGATTTATTTCCTGTGGTTTAAAGCCAATAGCTCTGTACAAACCCGCCTTTAAATCTGGTTTTAAAAAATAATGGTTTGCTAAAGCTGGTGAGCATATCATTACATTCTAATGAGAGACTATATGCCATTTTTTATGATCACACAGTTAGCTGTGGCTACAGGGGTTTATTATCTTAGAAAGAAAGGTCAGTCTTAAAGTGTACATCAAACACAGCAAAGATACCACTTTAAATCCCATTATGATGAACGACATTGCATACAGTCCTAAAAGTAACACAAGGAAGTTTTGTTATTAACGCATTAACGGTTACATTCAGTGTCACACACATAACCTGAAAAATATCTCTAATGCCTCACTTCCTCAGAAAACATTCACACTGCAGACTAAAAGCACACTGTCTTGTTCGTCTCACAGCGTTTTCTGCTGCCATTGTTTAGAAGTTGCGTAATTGTAGCGTTGGTCAAGAGTAAGAGTTACCTGAAGCTACAGTTTTAATCCAAATAGAGATCTGGTAAATAGCTCTGTCTCTCCTTTGTATTTTCTGAATCTCTTCTTTGTCACTTGGAGTGCAGTTTATTTTGAGTTACTGAACTGTGATGGAGGAGCATGTGGAAAAACCACATTGATCCTGCTTCCTATGAAAATTGTGTTCCGACACTTTTTTTTGGCTCAGAACAGCAGAAACAGCAGGTCGTACTCTAGTTTGATAGACCCAAAGCAGACTGAGAAATGGATTAAAAATTAGACAAAGGCTTTCAGATATTGAGGAGTTCGTGAGAAGACTGAAATCCTACAAGGCAGGGGAGAAAATAAAGTAAAATGCATGAAGTGCTACAATGAGAACATCCCAACTAAAAACAAGGGTGAAGAGGAAAAGAGTGAACTGAAAACAATACAGGTTGGGCCTGCAATCAGAAAGGCGGGAAAACGCACAGAAGCAGGAAGTAAATGCAACTAATGAGGGGAGGTTAAATGTCAAAGTGGGACATGGAAAATATGAACTATAGCCTGGCTCCAGGCCGAAGTCTACACAACTAAATCAAACCAATTCAATGCAATAAACAGAAAAAGCAAGCTCACCCAATACCATTATAGCAAGGTTAAGCAACACAGTCTTTCCTAAGGGAAACCTGAAGAAAAACGTCAATTCCCTCGCTCACTTACTCGAGATACCCCAGTTAAGAGCAAATCTCTGTTTCCAAACCCCCATCCTGCCATCGGATTTAAGATAATGATCATCAGTTTGTTGTATTATCTCGTATTTTGTTGGCTACTCAAAATGTTCTCGCCATAACTGACAACAAGGTGAGAACAAAACTCTATCTGTTTCTAGCCAAAAAGAAAGCCTATTGTTGGATCTTGAGGGGTTTCGTACTTGTCATTGTGTTGTACAGTCAAAGGTTGGCTGTTGTACCCTTGACAAAGAGAGCTTAATTGTACCCTGGTGGCTTGTATCTCCAAGAAACCAATCGAGTGTCTCTGTATTGACGGTAACAACTAAAAATCGACCGTAAACCGAGAAAGATTGAAACTGACTTCAAATTTAATTGAAAAGCCAGTTTTTTCAACCAATCCAGCTGAGTCCAGAAGAAAGAAAAAGCTTGAGATGCTCCCATAACCAGTGATTGTTGGCTCTTTAAAAGTACGTTTTCTCTGTCTTTTAAATCATCTCTAGCAGTCAGGAGTGGGAACAGAGTAGCAAGAGGTTGTGGATTTCACGGTCTTCTTGTATCTGAAAGAACACTATTGTTTTGCCAGATTGCAGCTGATTGAAAGAGAGTTTTGAATTCATTTTTTGGAGTTACTCAAAATTCAATATCAACTTGAAACTTTTTCATTTTTTACTCAGGTACTTAGAAAACACGAGCTACTACTTGGCTTGAAATTGCTCATAAAGAAGTTTTTAAATCCAGCATTAAGATTTGTTTTCCACTTAACTTTTTCAAGGTTTTGGCTGATTCCACTTCAAGGGTGTGAGCTGCACTCTAAAGCTGATCTCTCCCCACTCAAGTCAAGCTTGTGTTCCTGCAGGAACTGTGGCGTACCCACTCACAGTAGAAGTCCAAAAATTGAGAGACAATATCCGGTGATGGGCAGATAAATATTGGAAAGGCAAAGCAAAGTATTAATAGTGTGTTGCTCGCTCTAAACTCCCGAGCTATCTTGGGAGGTTCTCGCAAGTCCAGCCGATTCAAGCTGCGTTACACCTCAGGAACAGTTTCAGCGGGGTATGGAGCCATCAGACAAAGCAAGACTGTGGCAAGTCAGCTGTACTTGTTACTGAGTCATACAATCGCACCCTTTTAAGCTCTGAAAAGGTACAAAAAGTCACCTTGAGGTCCAACTATTAGCCCTAGAAGAACCATTTTACTAAAACTTCTTCAGTATGGACAGAAATGAACCTCTTCCATTCACTTATTCCTGACAGTTTATGAGAAACATTTTCACTTCAAATTGTCATCCTTTCTAGATGTCAAGAGAAAGTGTCATGCTCTCATACCTTCAAACTAAAGTGACTGTTTTTCCTTCACCCTCCACAGTTACACGGCAGTTGCAATGCCGATGTTGTACAACACTCGCTACAGCTCCAGGAGACGAGTCACAGTAATGATCTCGGTGGTGTGGGTGCTGTCTTTTGCCATATCATGTCCGCTGTTGTTTGGCCTGAATAACACAGGTAAGACCGAGCATGTGTAACAAATCTGCTCTTTTGTTTTGCGTCAGAGATGTCTGACATATTGTGTGACTCGATTCATAAAGCAGTAGTGCTGCTCTACTGTTTTATTCATGGGTACTTTCACTGTAAAGTACAGCATACATTGTGGAAAGCCCTGGCTGAGTGAGCCATAGCACTCTAGGATGTGCCTTTCTCAGAAGGAGGATTAAAGTCGAGGGAGGTTTCGATTAGAGATTTTTCAGCTTGTTGCTGACCTGCTCTTGTGGCCTCCTTTAACTTTGAAGCCCACTTATCCCTTTGAGTGCCTTGAACTGATATCAGTTCTGACGGGACTCAGACAGTTGTATTTGTGAGCCACACGAATGCTTTCAAGTGAGCGGTGGCAGCGGTGCAGGGCCGGCGTAAGCACAGGGGAAGCATAAAGCTGGAGCAGCTGAAACTGGAGCTTTGGAGATTTGTTTTTTAGCAACTCAGCTCATTTTAAACATCTTACCATTATTTTTCAGCCATAGATAGAAGTTTAAACTGTGAGTGTAGAGGCAGACATGCTGTTTATGTAAGTCATAGATCATAACAGCCTCAGCTTTGTGTACTTGGATGAAAACACCTAGTTAGTGCTTCACAGTTCATCTCTCCTCTCAAACATGCACACACATCATGGTTCTGGGTTCAGCATGAGGACAGGGGATCAAAATTAAAGGGGTATTTCAACATTACCATGCACCATGCATAGATTCGGCCAGCTTGAAAGAGGTCAGAGAACGATTACAGAGAGAAATTGTATTAAATGAAACAGCAGGAGACGAAATCTCCTGGCTTATGGATGAAGTGAAAGAACTTAATTAAACATTTCCTACTAATCTAACTGGCTTTCAAAGGAAATCAGTGAAACCTATAATTAGAAAACAGCAAGTTCAGATAGTCAAAAGTTGGAGTGATCTGTGAAACACAAAAGCCAACATCCTGAACTGGCTCTTTGAGCTTGGTGGTGTAAATAAGAAATATTGAAAAGGGTAGGTTGAATTTGGTTGAGGTGTCATGTTCGAAGAGTGACCTTCAAGTCGCGGGAGTGCAGAGATGGTCACAGTTTCAGATAAATTAAAGAGACTGACATAAAAACTGTGTTCCCAGCAGCAAGTTCAAACACGAGACCTTACTCCCTTCTTTGCTTACCTCAACAGCCACTCGTGACGAGAGCCTCTGTGTGATCGCAAACCCGGCCTTTGTGGTGTACTCCTCCATCGTGTCCTTCTACGTCCCCTTCATCATCACTCTGCTGGTTTATGTGCAGATTTATGTGGTCCTGAGGAAGCGCAGGAAACGCGTCAACACCAAACCGAAACAGCGCGTCTGTCAGCCTGCTGACCCTGATGCGGCCACTTCTCTGAAGGTGAGCTGTAACAGAAATATGGATGCCGTTTACAACAATGTAAACTGAGATTGATTTACACTTTCGCTAAAGTAATGCCCCGTTGTGGAAAGATGAGTTTTAAACCGTTGTGAGAAAAAAATAACTTCAGAGTAGCAGACATCTCCTGGCCTTGGAGCAGACGAGTGTCTTTATGAAACAGCAATCAATAATTTTAACTCAACTCGATTTTATGCAGTGGTTCTATGGACAGGCATTGTATTACGCAACAACATACCATAAAAGGAAAAAACAGGGACAAGGAGAGGATTGATTTTCTTTGCAAAACAATGGAAAGCGGGGATTTAAAAGGAAAGCGGAGCTAGACTAAATCACTTCCTCTCTCTTGAATGTCGGGGAAATGTTTGGTTTTAATAAAGAGAGCAGTTCTAATCTAATCATTACAATTACTGGCACGTTTAGTGTCGAAGGCCGTCACACAGCTTTAACAACTATGGCCCCCAAATGACCTTATGCTATTCTGGTTATTGATTTTCCTGACAGTGAAACTCAATGGGCCCCGCACAGGAAGCCAAGTAATGCTTTTGATCCAGTGTACTACATCTCTCATGTTGGAGCACGGCTTTGCTAAACTGTGTCTGTATGTGTGTATGTTTGAGAGAGAGCGAGAGAGAGAGAGTAAATGAGGTCAGGGGTAACATTCATAAGAAAAAAAACACTGAAGCTTAAAGGGAATACAGGCCATGAATTACTCAAGGGTGTAATGATCTGTGAAATGGCTACATATCACAGCAGAGAGTAGAGGGAGAGTCATTTGAATAAAGATTCACTTATGTTGATGAGATTATGTCATCATGGTGAAATAATCTCAAATTTTCACGCTGTCACATTAATGAAGATGCAGCTCAGGATAGCATCGCAGGTCAGATTAGAGCTCCAAGAAGACTCATTTGACCCCCGAGGGAACTGTACTTAGATCACTCTTTTTGCTTTGCTTTGACACTGTACCTTCTCTTTTACTGACAGAGCTGTCTTTCATTTCAGGATAAGTGCACTCACCCAGAGGATGTGAGGCTGTGCACCATGATTGTTAAATCTAATGGCAGTTTCCCTGTCAACAAGAAGAAAGTGGTGCGTGTCGCAGTTTGTTATGTTTTACTTTTTCTTGCTTAAATACCATAATTGTTAGACTATTTCTTACATTTTCTAAGTGAAATAGCTTTAATGGGACCTTTCTGCGTCTCTGAGCATGGTAAACTTCAATTAAAGCCCGAAGTGTGGTCATCTTTCTTCTTTTTCATGACTATTATTTCAAATGTCAGCTATTGTGCACTGATGAAAAATGACCGTCCTATTCCGTGTTTCTGCTGCTGTTCATCTTGACCCTGCTCAGATATTCATCAAAGATGGAGTCCAGGAGGGGGAAGATCTGGAGCTGGATGAGCTGAACAGCAGCTGCAGCAAGAAGCAGAAGCAACAGCCTCAGTGTGCTCTCGGAGACACTCCGGCCACCAGCCACCAGCTACTCATGCCCAACAAAGCCAACGCCAGCCCCACCTCCACTCCCCCTACTCCTCCCACTCCGCCTGAGGAGAGCCAGAAAGCAGAAAAGAACGGAGATCCCAGCAAAGAGGCCCTGGGAGATCCGGCACCTGTTGTGATGAAAGCTTTCCAGACTCAGGCGTTACCTAACGGCAAGACTCAGACATCAGTGAGGAGCATGAGTAAGAGGAAGATCTCCCAGCAGAAGGAGAAGAAGGCCACACAGATGTTAGCCATTGTCCTTGGTAGGTTGATTCACTTGGCACTAAAATATTTGAAAAAATAAGAGTCACTTAGATAAACGTATCTATTCACATCAAAGGTGACATCGAAGTTTTGACTTTTAGCTAAATAGCTGTGATTTTCCCTCATCCAACCAGCTTAAAAGCATGGTTGACGATTGGAGGAACAGTTGGGGAAAAAAAACGAGCCGTTGAGGCAGATTTGAAAAAAGCGTCCCATCCCCCCACACACAAACTTCTCCCCTCTGTGCTCCACGATAACTCCCCCCTGAACCTGTATTGCCCTCCCCATGACACACCCCCTCTGGCAGAGCAAGAAGCTGGCTGGCAGAAGATCCAACGCTAGCTTCAAATAGGATTAACCATGCCGGATTGCTAGTGACTAGCGGCAGTAAACACCAGCTCTGCTAGCGAGCACCGCCTGCAGCTGCCTGAACAGCTACCGTGTTGACATTGCAGAGACTAATAAGAGTTATTTATGTAACACGTGCCACGATAAAAGGTAAAAATTACATGTTCAATAAAAACGTTGCTGTCTTAGCATCTGTTTTCAGGCCTAAATCCTAGCAGAGCTTTCTCCACCGCTTGAAGAATGACCCGATGTATATTCAAGTCAGATTCCTCGCTTGGTCACATTTCCTCTTCGTCTCTACCCTTTCTTCTGTCGGCTTGCGTTTTTTTAGCATTTTTGGCGGCGGGGCAATCAAAAGTGTTTTTTTTTTTTGCGTCCTTCTCCATCACAGCTTTTGTTGCTAAGCTGCTACGCTACATTTGGCCACTCAGAGCCTACAAGGAGCACTGGGAGAGTCGGAACTACGGGAGAGGGTGTGTCGAATACAGCGAGTTGATTGGATTGAGAGCTGAAGCAGGAGATTGACCAATAGGAGCTGTCCGGGACTTATGGCTCCCATTGGTAGCCAGTTTTCTGCAGCCCTGCACCTGCTAGGGTGAACAGATTTTTCCTTTTATTTTTCTCTTCACTTTGAGGAGATCGCACTATAGGACCATGATCGCCATATAAACAAGGTTAATAATAATTACCAATCTCTCCAATCGTCAGCCATGCCTTTCAAACTGCTCACAGGAGCTTAACCATAAATTTATCCTGTATCATAGGATCTAAAACCAGTTTTTCATTCACTCAAGTTCCCAGCTTTCCAAAGTTAGCAGCAGCCTATGAAGTATGTTTATTTTTGTGTCAAAATTTTGTGCTTGAGAGTCTAAACAGTCAATGATGTAACGATGGGAAATCCTCAATATTAAAGTGTTCAGCAAGAAACTCTTCTAACCTGCATACTTTCTAATATAACTTTTTTCTCTTTTTATATGCCCCCAGGTGTATTCATCATATGCTGGCTGCCATTTTTCATTACGCACATCCTCAACACCCACTGCACAAAATGCAAGGTCCCTGCTGAGATGTATAACGCTTTCACTTGGCTGGGCTACGTGAATAGTGCTGTAAACCCAATCATCTACACCACTTTCAATGTGGAGTTCAGAAAGGCATTCATTAAGATTTTGCACTGCTAAACGGCATCATCATCATCTATCTGATCAGACTGAGGGAGGAGTGATGAATTAAAGCATCTCTTCGGGCAAATACCTCATCCTGTTTAAGGAAAAAAACAAAGCGCACCACAGGGGGAAGCAGCCATCTGCTTTTTCAAGCTACGGAGCTGAGTGACTGGTACGTTGACAGTGTCTTATTGGACGGCGTTTTGGCTCTTAATGTGAATCGTTTGTGGAGTAAGTGTTCTCCGAATCACTGAATGTAAACCAAGAAATGTCTGTAACATCGAGCTGTTCCATGGAGAAAAGAGAATATTGTGACATTGTTCTATAAAATCATTGTGCTTGTCATGTGAGGAGCCATCTGTGTATACAACACACATACAAAAATGCTATTTATTGTGTGTGTACTTTATGTTTTTATGATGGACATTTTCAGCAAATCTAATAGATATCAAGTCAGTGTTCATTGCAGTGTTAAAACTGATTCGTGAGCTCTTAATCTGAAACCTATCGATGATTGGATTGTGTGTTAAAGAGATGATGCTGTATTAAGTGGCTATGCCAACATCCACATATTTGCAATTTTATAAATTGAAAAATCCATTATTATTATTCTTATATTATTATTATTATTACTATTATTACTATTATTATTATTTGCTGTAAATAGATTTCTTAAAACATTAACTGTGATTATATGCCTGCAATTGCAATGTGATGCATGCTACACTGCTCCTCTTTCTGACTTTTCATGAAGTGTATGTTCAACAAAAATTACAGAAAATCTTCAATAAATTAAGTAATAAGAAATTGTAAAATGCCACAGGATTATCAGTGTTCGCCATGCGTAAAAAGATACTCCCATTGATCTGTCATTTTTGAGCAGCCTCCCTCTTTCTTTTTGCCCTGATTTGCAGTCTGAGTAATGTTGTGTACTGGGAGTTACTCTCTGCGGCGGAGTTGTTTCTCAGCAAACTAATGACCTGTGTATGGACTCTGCAGCTTCCAGGTATAATCATGTGGATATGTGCAGCCCTTCAAGCAGCTCCCCGGGGTCTTTTGTAAGGAGGAATGAGGCAAACTCTGCAAAACTGAAATAACAGTTGGAGCAGTGCATCCATGTGTGATTTTTCCTTTTCTGTTTCTCTTTCTTTTGGTCTTTTTTTATTTTATTTATTTTGCAGGTGAAAGCACAACTTTGAGTTCAATAATATGGACAATATTATCAACAAAGATATTTTAATGTTTTAATGAATATCAGCCATAGAGTACAATAGAAAAAGTAAAAATCATTCGACTCTGTCATTGTCAAGTCCTACATTAAGTCTAGACAAGAAAATAAAGGTTTTCAAAAATAAAGATGTTTTATTTTATGACCGGATATGTGTGGGCATCAGACTGCGCACGTTTGTTTGCTGAGTCCAAAAGTTGTCTGCATGTGGAATTGAACCCTCAACCCTCTGAACCAGCTATCACCAGGCATCCTTTACACAACATGGGTCACATAATGGGAAATAACAGTGGTACTTGCACTGCATGCCATGATGCTTTCACTGAGCGTAGAATAAAAATGTTGAATTATGACTTTAATACCTTCCACTATTCCAGATTTGCTGCTCATTGGATGCATAAATACACTTTCATGATTTTCAGGAAACTACCACTCTTTCGTAAGAGAGTTTGTGACTATTTTATTTAATATGTTTGAGTCAAAGTGACACTATGAGGAACACATTTGGCCCTGATAGTATACACTTAATCTGAAATATCCCCATAAGAAATGCTCTCTGATTTGTTTTTGATGAAGTGGAAAGTATACATCAGTTTTGTATACTGTAAGAAGTAGCATGTAGGCAAAGCACAGCTCTGTCAGTGGATTTATATAAGAGATGACACAGTGCCTTTTGCTGTGGCTGAAGTTTTTCATGCGTAATTGACATCACTGTTGCTTTTTCACTGAGTGTAGCATCAGTCTTTGTCATGACGTAAGGTAACAAGAAGAAAGGTTCCTGCTTTTTACAGTAATTTATCACCCCTGGCAGAGGGGAGGCTCAGGAAATGCACAGTTCACCTGTTTTACCTCAAGAAGTTAAATTTGAGAAGAAAGAAACTAAATTGTGTGTTATTGATAAATGGATGTCTGACCACCTCTCTGGCCTCTACAATGTTACAAAGGTATACAACCGAAAACAATGCCGGTGAGATTTAATAGTTCCAACACTGGGAAAGGTTTGATCTACTTTATCAACTCCTCAGATAGTTACAGCACTGTACTGCTGCTTTGGAAAGGGGTGATTTTAAAAATGATTTGTTTACTCCATCTTGCTGAAAAGTAGGTGTCAAGATAACTGGAAGCTGGAGCCTGCCGATGAAATCTTGGCTTACAATAAATGTTAGAAACAGGAGGAAACAGCCTCTCTCTAGACAGAGATTAAAATAAAAAGTTCTCACATCCTCCAAATCTTTAATGTTTAAATTTTCTCGGGAAAAAGTGTAAAAATAAAGATGTACGCAGCTTTTTTATGATGAACACTGAGCCAAGATGGAGAAAGTGTTTTATCTGATGAGCTGAGATGATGGCCAGATGAATTTGGAAAGAGCTGGGCTAGCTGTCTTTTTAATGTATGCTCTTTGAATTTTATCAGACTGTTAAGTGACTTCTAGGGGGCGGACTGTATTTACCTGCAGGACAGAGAGGGGAATATCCATTTCTAACAAGATTATCAAGAGACAATAAAGGCAGTAGTGGAGAGTGGGGTAAGATGAGCCATTACGTCATATTTCGGATCACTACATCAAGGCGATCATAGTTTTGTCTCTAACTAGTGTATCTGCAGATATTTCAGGATGTTGGTCATCCCTGCAAACCAACAGAATGAGTGTAAACATATAACTGTCTTGATAACACAGCATGCCAAAAAAAGTGATCTCCTAAGGTCAACTTACCCCGTGTATGAAGTAAGTTGACCATAGGAGCGGGGTAAGTTGAGCCGTATCCCTACTAGCCCCCCACTCTCCATCCCAGCCCTCCCTCACCTTCTCTCTCCCTAAATAACAGTCACTTCTTCACATTCATGTGTATTTTTAACCTTTATATATTATATTATTCAACTAGTACAATAATTCTTTTATTATCATTGCATACAACTGCTAAAAAGCTGTTTTGTAAAAAGCCATTTTAACATTCACAGCTGTATATTTGAAAAGAAAAAGTAACACATTTCAACAATCTGAACTGAAACTCTGATCCTCTCATCAGACTCTTTACTTTTACAGTTTACCCCAGAACTATTATGATGACTTTATTAGTCCAAAATGGTGGACATTTTTTGCTAGGTTTTTCACCTGATATTGTACAATAGATACCACAATTGATGTACAAAACAAATTTAAAATGATCTTTTTTGGTCTGAACACAATTCTAATTAAACTTATGACAGACTACATTCACTTTCATGAGTGAAGAGTGTTTTTTTTTGCTAATAAATCTCTAACCCCTTCACCCATGTGCTTCTAACCTTCACAGACTCCATGAATTGATGCCCATCTCCTTAATATTTGGTCACATGATCAATTTCTTTGACCATTTCCAAGCAACAGGGGGTGGCTCAACTTACCCTTTGGCTCAACTTACCCCACTCTCCCCTACCCCTTGATATGAAAATGGTCAAAATCATCCCTCTTCTAAAACGGACATCCCAACTATCCGTCCCTTAAGCCATTTTTGTCAATGAATGTGGAGATATTACTTTTATTTTAACATTAGAAATTTACCGCAATTTCAACGTTTAGCGGGTGTGACGGAGCCGCGTCCTCACTGACTGCGGGCAGCGCGAGGACACGTACACGCCATACATTTCCCTCCCCGCCAGCGTCGCTAATTCCCCACTAAACAGCGCTACTGTTCCTCCTCCTTTCTCTGTTGCAAAGGGTAACTAAGGTTGCACACTTGGAGCTATATCACTTAACATAAACATACATTCACACATAGATATTCATCCTTCTACTTACTTGCCGGGTGTCCATTCACGCCATCATGCCGGCTCATATTCCCAAATGAGAAAATAGAGCGAATCATTTCCGGGTTGTATAAAGGTGGGTATGGAGGGTCAAAGTGGTCACATGATGCACGAAAAACTAATTCCCTTGTTGTTTTCCATGAATCCCTAAAAATTAATGCTATATTGATTTGTTTAAAAACTTAGTTAAAATGGCAGAAACTTGCAGAAAAAAGGTCTGAAGGTTAAAATTGGTTTAAATGTGAATAAATGTTTTTTTTTTCAAACTTATGTAATAAATAACGCCCACTGGGAGGGGCTAGGAGGAGTTAAGAGAAGGTTTCCTGGGCCTTTGTTTCTTTGACTGGAGTAACTTCTAAATTTAGTTTTGTTGTGCTGTTGTGGTTCTTTTTTTTCTCTTGAGTGAGAATCATGAGTTAAAGTGGAGCTCCTGCCTCGTTGGCATTTCCTTGTCCATGCCTCGTACATTTTGTAAGTATTATTTGACAATTTTTTGCACTTTTGTAAATATTTTTGCACTACACCTTCGAAGGCCGGCTGTAAATGAACATCACCATCATCATGTTTTTGCCGCGCCTGTGTTTTTCCACAATATTGTGATTGTTTGCATGAGAACCCCGCAACAGGGGGCTTTGTGCATATTTAGTAAAATACTCTGAGTGAGGAGGCAAATGTGATAATGACTCTCTTTTTTTCTCTCTTTTTTTTTAAATGTCATCAGTGAGCAGCACTGGTGAAGCCGTTGTCATTTAAGTATCATGGCCAAGGGACATGGACAGCTCAATCTGAGGAATAATGTAATATAAAAATTATCTTTGTGCTTTAGCAACAATAAAATGGGTACACAGTTGGTTTTCATACCATATGCACTTTCATCAGAACAAAATATCAGTCCCAAACAACTAAATCCACCATCCTCCCTGATTTTTTTTCACAACTCTACTACTGACAAATGGTACTAAGTGAAGTCATGTTGATGCCTTGCTGTAGATACTCATTGTTCTACCCTACTTTAAGGTTTCAACAGCTCACACAGCAAAATATGAGACACAGAAGGACTCTAAAATCAATTCCTCAAATAAAAAGTAGTAAAAGCTAATTTATGGGTTGACAGCGCCTGAGGGTGTTTTCCATCTTCATGCTAAGCTAAGCTTAGTGTCAGCCTTGTATCAGACTGAAGGATGTGAGTCATTTTGATCTCCAGATTGGATGTCAAGAGTGAATGAGTGTATTTCCCAGGATGTAGCAACTCTTTCATCCTGACACAGATTTTCTTTCAGCTTGTAGATATGATAAAGATGGTTGAGATTTGGAACAGTGAGCGTTCAGTAACAGCTTCATTTTGTGCGCCATTTGGTAAAGACATACAGGGAACAAATGCAGCACATTCTTGATTGCTGAATAGACTTTTCTGATCTTGTTTCATTTTCTCTTCTTTTCCTGGAACAAGAGCAGCATTTGTGGAGGGTGTTTTGTCAGTTTCTGTAAGTCCCCCAGGGCCACAGCTGACTGATGTAATGTACCGGATCACACAGTTTAATGGACTTCCATTCAGCGCTGGGACATGTGGATCCTTTTCACCCTCTAGCAAATACTATCAGAGCAAAGAGTTTAGGGATGGGTCTGGACATTAAAAGAAGAGAGAAAAACTGCAGTGTCTAACTCAGCCTATAAAGCCTGAAAGCCTTTGTGTTAGTACTGCCCTGAATTAGCTCTCTGTCTGTAATACTAACATGTAAAAAATAGGGATGTTCACTTCAGCTGACTCCGCAGTCTGAATCAGGGAACACACAACAAGATAACCGTGTCGATTTAAGGCCAGATTCACCGATTTGAAAAGTCAGTAAAGGGCTGATTATCACTTGGCTCTAAAGAGGTGTGTTAGGAGGAATTTTTCTAAAACTAAAAATTATTTCTAAAAGGCTAATTTGGAGAAAACTATTCATGCCTTTATAACTTCACATATAGACTACCGCAACTCCTTATATGCGGGCTTGGACAAGTCATGCATCAGCCGCCTTCTGCTCATTCAAAACGCTGCTGCTCGACTCCTCTCTGGCAAGAAAAAATGCAACCACATAACTCCTATTTTAGTGACCCTTCACTGGCTCCTTGTACGCTTCCGCATTGATTTTAAAATTCTTTTAATCATTTTTAAAGCCCTCAATGGTCTTGCCCTTCCTTACCTGTCCGAGCTCCTGTATCACCACTCCCAGGACAGAGCCTTAGAGGTCAGCTACTATTGAGCGTCCTGAAAACCAGACCCAAGTCTAGAGGTGACAGGGCTTTTTCAGCGGTTGCCCCTAGACTGTAGAACAGTTTACCTGGCCGTATTAGAGCCTCTCAGACCTTAAGGTCTTTTAAATCACCTTTAAAGACCCATTTTTTCTCCCTTGCTTTTAATAAATGAGCACACAGGAATCAGAGGCACTGTAGCTTTTATTCTTTTACTGTCTGAATTTTATTCTTCTGTTTTAATTTTATTTTTTACTATTATCCATCTATTTATGTACTTCTTTTATTTATCCCATGTACAGCACTTTGTTTGACTGCTGTCTTTAAAGGTGCTTTATAAATAAACATTGACTTGACTTGACTTATCTGTGCAGAAGATAATCAGAGCCTCCCCAACTTAGAAGCATGGATATTAAACACGTTCAATATTTATGATTTGTTACCCTCCTTAGCTGGCACCAAAATGTGTCCTCATTTAAATCAATCATTAAGAATTTTGATATTATTTATATTGTAAGCCTGAAATGCTCTCTGAGAGTCAGCACATCCATTTCTGGGCCAAAGCTGTAGCTATAGCTGCTTAAATAAGCTGTGCTCAATTTTGACTGTTTTATAATTGTTTTTTCATCTTTAGACATGTCACTGAGTTGACATTTTAATACGAAAGGCTATGAACTCAGTAGCAACAGAATATCTCTGGTGGAAATCATGTCATTTCACGCTGTACAGCTCCATGCTTTTTTCCTGGCTCAGAGCCACATATGATCCATGTGAACCCTCTCTGCTATTTATGGATATCCCATAGACTTGTGTGGCATGTGTATATATGGCATTCCCATAATAAAACCCCCAGGAGGGAGTTCCCCTCTCTACGATAAGACCCGCACCAATCACGTCTGACATGGACTGTGTGCTGGCACTCCTCCTGTCGACAAAATAGCTAATGAATCATTTTAATTAGCAGCTTCTCTTGTTTAAATGTGTGTGAGTGTCATTATTTATACATTTCTAGGTCTGTCAGTTACACTTAATCAATCACATGTTACAGTTTGATTTAATTTTGCAGTAAATCATCAGAGGTTCTTGTAATTTATTTCTACTGAGGTCTTGTTTTTTTTAATTCGGTGCTCATTTTTAGTATCAGGCAATCAATGAGCGACTATAAAAGCCGTTTCTGTGTTTGATTGGAGCTTGTACTCCAGAAATGCATTAAAATCAATGAATAATTAACAGTTTTTATGTAAATTTAAATGCAAAAAACCCTTCTAATAATCACAGACATGCAGACAAAGCCCACACATTTGCTAGCATGTTAAGTGTTTATATCTCACAATGCTAATGCAGTCTTTTTGTACCCATTCATTCATGTGTACTCAGTCTATTAACAGCTGTGGTTTTGATCCCGCTTTTATCACTGCTGCTGCAAGGCGGCTCTGTGTTTCTGATTAAATTTCTGATTACACCAGGGGAAGTCTCTGAACAGCGGCCAGCCTGCCCCTCCCCAACCCCTCACCAGCACCACCCTGAGTGTCATTCCTCCTGAGCTCCCCGGGGCTCCAATTCAAGCATCACTGATACACTCGATCTGCAAAAAAACCCACTCTCTTGGATCACATATCCCCTCACTCTTCTTAGCCCTCGTCAATCTCCTACCTCATCTGAAATGACATGTGACCAAGCTGTGGCACTCGCCTGTGATTTATTATGTTGCAGACCACACTGTTGATTCTGCAGCGAGGGATATCAAAGACAATGTCAGGAACAGAAAAGGTAACCTTGGAAGTTGGCGGTGCATGACAGGAGACGCTGCACCCTCAAACTTGGGGTCTCTGAGGACAGACTTCCTTATGCTCGTCTTCCACCTTGTCCTCCCTCTTCAGCCTCAAGTGGGTGTGTCCCCTCATCACCCTGTGTCGTCTCAGCCATTTCAGAGCTCACTGATAGGCATGTTCAAAAATAATCCCACAGGGTGGAGAAGGAGGGTTGAAACAGAGGTGGAGTTGTGTTGACTGTATGTTAGAGCGCAGAACCAAGCCTCAATGGGGCCCTAAGCAAAATTTGATTTTGGGGCCCTCTTTTTCTGCCAATAATATTGATTGTTGATCATTCACCTGATCGCGCCTGACATGTCTTTACACATTTGAGGGGGTGGCCTAGGGTATAACATAAATAATACCAATGCAACCATAAAAATAGTACCAGTGAATGACTGATGGATGATGTTCAGGGAGCTACATATGGGTTTTAATCTCAAAATGAAACACAATGAGGATGCTCAGTGCACATTGCACAGCAAGAGGCACATAACGGTAGTGAAGCTTTGACATTTTGGCAGGGAGAATCATAGGCCTACATCAGCAGCATCACTAAAACGTTTTTATTTTATTTTATACATTTGATCATACAGAGAGCATCACTCATACATGTAAAAAATAAAAATATATATATACTTATTTTTTTTTTCTTTGATTGCTCTTGGGGGCCCCCTACTGGCTGCAGGGCCCTAAGCAGAGGCTTAGTTCGCATATGCCTGGCATATGGCTGGCTCTGTTAGAGTGTTTATCACACTTTAAATTAACGAGATTTCTGAATTATTAAAATCCACTGATAGCAGAGTCTGTGAGTGTGATTACTGCCGGACAGTCGACAAACAGCATTAACTCTTCGCCTCAGCTCTCTGAGCTTGGAGCTCAGGGAGACAGAGGATATAAACAACAAAATCTGCAAGTCACTCTGATAAGGAAAAAGTTAGAAACAATCATAATACTCTTATTATGATTGTTTCTAAGTTTTCAGTTGTCCTCTTGCTCTAATGTGTTTCTGATTTAATCAATACACTGTTCTGCTACTTTGGTGTCTTAGATTTAAATTAGGGATCTGTCAAAGGACAAATGCACTTCTGAAAACTTTTGGTTGGTGTCTGGACTGTTGCAGCCTAATTCCCTGAAAATCTGCAATTCCATTTTGGCAATAAAACTACCGACTGGCTGTGATAAAGCCTAAATCACTTCATCTGTAAGTTTATGCTCTTCTCTTATTGGTGCTGTGAAAACACAGCGGTTTGGAGCTGGGGTGTGTTGAAGTTAATTCAAACTTCCCCGAGTCCGTTGATGGAGACTGGAACAGAGGATTCACTGAGGCAAAAAGGTGTCTTCAACAAACCTTTTATTTCGGCACATCAAATAACACAAGATATCTTGGAGAGCACAACATCAACCCAATGGTATCTCTGAGGTGGTCTGATTACTATTTTTCAGTAGTTAATATTTATACCCTAGGAGGCGTCTCATCATCTTTTTGGGCGGAGAGTTTACATAACCAGCAGCCCCCAGTGTTTCTCTATGGACAAACAAGCACGTATTGTTCTATTTTTTTTACCTGACCGAAACCGTGGTTTCAGGGAAGTTGACCTTGGATGCATCCAGCGCTTGTCTCCTTTTATCATATTTGCGTCATGTATTCCAAGCTTTCACTGAGTTCCCACTGGGCAGACTGCTGGGCATGCAAACCCCCCTTTACACCTCCCCATCTTCTCAGGACAGAGTGATCTTCCTCCCTCGTCCTGTTGTTCACATCTCTGACTAGCACCTGCACATCTGTTTATGAAAGGCACATCATTATCTAAGGCATATGTCAGGGCCCTAGAGCACTTTTATAAGGAACACTTTTAGTGAATGGCTGTGATGATTATAAAGCACACTTTTTAATAAATGACTGTTAAGGCAGAACAGTTTAAAACCATACTTACCAACCCTTGGCACTTCTAGGCATAAGCTAAAATCCTTCTATACTGAAAGTCTCTGTTCTATACATTGTGACACAGTGGTCAATTGCCCCCGTGTTAGCATTAAACCTTCTAATCTGACTCATCAGTACATGTCCGCAATGAGCACACAAAATAATGTAAACACAATAAGAAAACAGTTAATTACCTGAAACAATGATTAAATGATTGTCATCAATGATTAAATGATTAGCGTGAACATGTGATGGTTAAATGATTAGCATGAACCTGTGAGTTCCCACAAATTCCCCCTTTTGATCTCTTCAAAGAGATCACTTTTAATGGGCGCCCAACAGCCTGAATTCCATGGACACTGAGGAGTTTGGGTCGTCATCAACGGTACTATGGCTAGAAGCAGAGGGGAGAGAGCTAGAGGGCTCCCCTGTGGGGTCAGAGGTGGGGACCGGTTGGTATTGTAGCATCTGATAAGGAGGAGGAGGAGAGTCCCCCTTTTTCTCCAGGGCAGTCACAATGAGACGGTTACACAAGGAACGGGCACAGGGGATACAGCAACAACCGCAACACACCAGGATGGCCGCAAACACTGCAATAGAAGTGAGGATAGATGTCACGAGTGATGAATACTTGCCAAAAAACTTGGTGAAGGGATCCCACATGGAGAGATCGACTCCTGAGTGAGATTTCATTTCGTCTGCCAAATTACGGAGTGCATCGCGGGTTCTGGTGAGCTTCCCACCAGGGGCAGTATTATTTGGTATGTGCAGACAGCACTGATCGCCAAAAATAGAGCAGATACCTCCTTTTTCTGCCATCAGCATGTCCACCGCTTGGAAGGCCTGGGAGGCCGTGAGGGAGGTTGCACTAAGTTGCTCATGGACAGCTATAGATAGATCACGGGTGGCGTTAGCAAGCCTCTGGTGGTTGTAATGCAGATAGTTAATGCGATCTACGTTTTTTATGGGAGTGACAGGGAAGAGAGCTGACCACAAAGGCATGCTTTCAAATCCTGCGGCAACGTTGTCTACTAACTTGAATTCATCCGGGACACCGCGGGGGATGCCAATCGAATCAATGTATACTGGACTCCCTTGTTCCCACCATGCATCACCCACGGGGTCCCCGATGCTACGCTTGTGTTTCGCAATATGTTGGGAGGAAGAGGACCGGACAGATTCAATAGATGCCACCAGGGAGTCTTCGTTCATGGGGACAATGTCAGCTGGGTACACTAAGGTGACTAATATGCATGTTCCAGACCAATTGGGCGGGAGGCGATCTAATAGATGATCCTTACCACAATACCACCAAATATCAGCTCTCGATATTGTGAGATTAGACAGGGCGGCGCCATCTAATACCACTACAGACCTGCAGATTGACCGATAAACATCTCCAACCGGGGCGGCTGGCGGAAATGTGCGTGAGTGAATGCGGGTGTAACAGGTGAAATTCATGGTCAATGAAAGATCAAACAGAGGGTTCGCGGTTTCTGGGGGGTACAGCGGATGGATGTTATCTACCAGGTGGCAGGATCCTGACATTTTGAGAGAGGACATGGCTAACAGGGCACATTGTGAAAAATTGGAAGGATATTCATCGAACATAGACTGAAACATATGGAGGTAAGAATTGGGACCCATGCACAGCAGGCACTCCGAGAAACCGGAGGCATTCTTCGCAGCCATAACACTTTCTAGCCAGACATTATGCCTGGAAGTGGTCACGCCTAACCCCACCGTGAATCTGGTGGCGGGGTCCAGAAGTGCCATGTCTACGGCAACAACATAGTCGGTGATCTGTAACTGGTTGTGAGGAACCAGGTTGGGCTCGGTGGCCTGGTCTGTACCTTGAGGGCTGTCTGGTGTACGGGAAGAGTTGACTAAGTTGATTCGGATGAGGCCCATGGGGTCTTTCCCAGATACATCAACACCTACAGTAAAAAACACACCTTGTTCATCTCTGCTATCTGACCTATCTGTGAGACATCGGGGGTATCCGGACTGGGACTGGGCCTTAGCGGATCTTACAGAGTACGGATTGTGTTCAAACCCCCGGATAGTCAGGAGTAAAGGATTGAGCATGCCGTCCGCGGGGGTACTCAGCAGCTTGCCACGGGCGAAGGACACCGATGCCTTCAGCCGCCGTGCTTCTCCGTCCTTGGCGGAGGCCGTCCATCCGCCCGGCTGCGTGGTCCAGAACACATCCTTCCATGTCCCACACGCCGGGCGGAGCCGAGTCACCGCACCTTTACCTACGCGACACAGGTAGACATTATATTTCCTCCAGGGTGCCCCTGGACCGGCACAGCTGATTACTTTACAGAGGTCGAATTGGTACACAGTGGTTTGTCCTCTAACATGAGTGAATTCAATCTTACTCCCGGAGCTCCTAACACATCTGTCGCTTACTGGGCTTGCAAAAATAGTCTGCTTTGTGGAGGCGCGTAGATGTCTGGCAAGATGGCTGTTAACGGGGAACAACAGTGGCAGGGCGATCAGTGTCCCTAACCCTAGTGCCAATATGACAACAATAGTGAATGTAACGGTCCTCCAGTGTCTGTGGATGATTAAGAATAATCTGTCTGGGTTTGGCAGTGCACCAGGAGCCTGGGGGTCGAGGGGGATGGGCAGTAGCGTAATGTTCTCATGGTCAGACGGTAGGGAAGATGTCGGGGCTCTAGTGGGGATTAGGAAGCACCCATAGTACATCAACAGTGCCAGGAGTGTCAATTCAACCGTCAGTATTGCAGTTATGCCTAGGTAGACCTTACGTCTGTTCGCAAGCAGGGTGGCATCCAGGTCAGGGTCCGCCCCACTGAGGGACAGGTTAGTTCCGGGCTGTGGACTGGGGGTTATAGGAGGAGATGGCAAACAACCGTGGGTTCTTTGACTGCCGGAGGGGTACACATGGAATCTACAAAGCCAACATCTAAAGTAAGTGGGAACCGTGACCTCTAAGTGAGTGAGATTGACAGACACTACTGACACCCCCTTTTTGGCTGTCACTCCCCCCCCGGGGCGTGTAAGAAACATCATAGGGTATGGAACCCCCTGCTCGTCGCCAATTGTCGCCATCTCCGAGGGAGAGGCCAACTTTCACAGGAGTGTTTGGACCAGAGTATTCGCAAGTAATGGTCAGGGCTGTACCGTTAACAGAGAATGATGGGTGGGCCAAATAAGCATCATAGCCGCGGATGGGACGTGAGAGGTGTGTTGCATCAGGTTCTGTGGCGTTTGTAGGCAACTGTGGGAACTCCCTAGTCAGCCCTAAGATTATAAGCAGCAAACCTATGTTAAATAAGGCTAAAGCGATCAACCATGGCCATGAGCCAACTCTAAGACGAGGGATCCTCATTTCGTTTCTGCAAAATTCAACCCACAAAAGAACATCGAGCAATACAATGTAAGTTAATAACCAGATAAATGCCGAAATAAAAGGGTGTGGAACATACAGTGTGGAGCATACAGGTAAAAAATCTTCTCGTCTTGTACGACCTGACAGATGATCCGTCCGTGGAGGTCGCCCGGACAGGCAGCGTAGCGTCGTTGTCTACTGGAGCAGGTGTCAGCCGACGTCCTGCGGGATGTTGTCGTCTTTCTTCAGGCGGTCAGGGGTAGACTACCCTGTGCCCTTTACGTTGCAGGGATTATTCTGCCCTGTGTCTTTGCAGCGTAGCTTCGTTGTCTACTAGAGCAGTTGTCAGCCGACGTCCTGCAGGATGTTGTCTCCTTTCTTCAGGTGGTCAGGGGTAGACTACCCTGTGCCTTTTTCGTTGCAGGGATTATTCTGCCCTGTGTCTTTTCTGGAGGTGTGTGGCTCTTTGGTTTGGTTTCCTGCTGCAGCTGCTGCAAGATCCTGCCGCACTTCCTTCAGGGAGCGTTGAGGTGTTACAGCTGGGGCGCACTGAGTGAGGTGGAACCAGGTGTCACCTTTCCCGTCCAGCCGGACTGCGTGGGAGGTTCTCTCGGTCACCTGAAATGGTCCTGTCCACCTAGGCTCGCTCCACTTTCTCTTGATGACCCGAAGGAGGACCCAGTCAGTGATGGGTAGGTCACCGTCTTTGGTGCCGTCTTTGCTGTCTCGCACCTGCTTAGCAAATTCAGAGAGAACAGATTGCAGTTGTACATAATAATCTTTCTGGTGCATGTGAGAGGGAGGAGGGTCAGTGTTTTGCAGGGCTCGCTCTGGCCCTGGAAAAGGTCGACCACGTTCGAGCTCGAATGGGGTGTGTCCAGTTGTCCTGTTTACTGAGGATCGGATGGACATGAGGGCGAGCGGTAGAGCATCCACCCAGTTCAGCCCTGTGTGGGCACAAATCTTTGACAGCCTGTTCTTGACTGTCTGGTTCATCCTCTCAACCTTACCCTGAGATTGAGGATGGTACACGGACCCAAAACCATGTTTAAGTCCCAACATGGCCTCCACGTACTGGAGGTCCTGGTTCTTGAAGTGTGACCCATTGTCCGACCTGATCTTTTCTGGGAAGCCATGCTGTGGGATGTAATGGTTGATGAGACACTTAACTACTGATTTGCTGTCCTCTCTTTTCACTGGCCATGCTTCTGGCCATCCTGTAAATGCATCAACACACATCAAAACATACCTGTACCCTCGGACTGAGTTAACCATATCTGTAAAATCAATGATGATTTCTTTCCCTGGACGTGTTTTTAGTTGGAACTTACCCACCCCGGGTTTGTATGTAGGTCTGGTGTTGTGGTGTGTACAAACAGTGCAGTGTCTTACCCACTCCTTTAGCATGTCATGTAGGAAGGGGTGCCACCATTCTTTGAGGTCCACTTTCATCTGGGAGATGCCTGCATGGCCAACTCCATGTGCTTCTGAGAAGATACTGTCTTTGAGCCCAGGTGGCAGAACCAACCTTCCATCTGGGGATCTCCAGGTCCCTTCCGATAGGACTGCGCCTCTGAGTTTCCACACTGTCTTCTCTTCAGGTGAGGCTAGGTCCTGTTCTTTTGAGATTTCTGTAAGGGACAGTTTTGTCATTTGTGTCTCTGTGTCTGGTCTTACCAACAGGAGCTTCTCATGATATCCTGCGGCTGCTTTGGCTGCGGAGTCCGCTGCTTGGTTGCCCATGGCAACTCTGGATCCGCTGTTGTCGTGTCCTTTGCATTTGATGATGGCTACCTTCTGCTTTCAGGGCTTCAATCACTGCCACGACTTCTGCTCTCTGGGCTGACTGTGGTCCATTGAGCTTTTGTGCTGTTACCGTCTTGAGTCCGTCTGGTGTTTCTTCTATCACCGAGAATCCTGCTCTGAGTCCCTCCTTCTCATCTCTGTAGCAGCATCCGTCTGTGTATAGGTTTCTGGCCCCTGGGATGGGTTCCGTCTGGAGGTCTTCTCTGGCTTTTTCTTCTTTTTCAACCCTGTGGGCACACTCATGCAACACACCTTCCCCCAAACGCTCAGCCATGTTAACACCTTCATGAGTGAATAGCAAGTTTGGGGCTTCGAGAATGCGAGCGAGTTTTTGCTGTCTTGTGGAGGACATCGTAAAAGTTTGTGAGTTCACATAAGCTACAACGCTGTGTGATGTCAAGATGTGAAGTGTGTGTCCCATAACTATGTGTGCGCTTTTGTTGATGAGTTTGGCAACACCTGCAGCATGTCTTGTGCACGTTGGTTGACGTTTTTCTGTGGGGTCAAGGATGACACTGAGATACATCAGTACCGTTCTCTCTCCCCCTTTTTTCTGGAACAGAATACCGTTAGCAACAGATTCTGTTTCAGAAACATCCAAAAAGAACGGGCGCGCGTAGTCGGGGAGGGCCAATTCGGCGGACGCAGCGAGTTCTTGTTTGAGTTTGATAAAAGCTTCTTCCGAGTTGCGGGACCATGTCAGCTTCGCATTCAGATTTCTCATACCTGCAGAGGTGACCATGGCTCTCAGCGGAGATGTGAGAGTGGAAAAATCAGGTATGTACTGCCTGCTGTAACCCACCAGACCGAGAAACGACAGCATAGCTTTGACAGTGTCAGGCTTGGTGTGGTGCAGAATGGATGTGCGGTGGGCGGGGGACAATGAGGCCCCCTTTTGTGACAGTAGTCTGCCGAGGAAAGAAACTTGTTTCCGCGCGATTTGCAACTTAGGTTGACTGACCTTGAACCCGTGGCGGGCCAGGAGTAGGAGCAGGGCCCGTGTGGCCTGCAGGCAGGACTCGGCTGTGGTGGACGCAATGAGCAGGTCGTCGACATATTGAATCACTGTGGTGCCATCGGGCAGCTGCAGGTCAGCCAAACTCTCTTTCAGAACCTGGTTAAAGATGCCAGGGGAGAGGGCGAATCCCTGTGGGAGGCGGGTGTAACGGAGTCTGCGACGCTGGTAGGTGAACGAGAAGATGTCCCGAACGTTCTCATGTAAAGGGAGACAGAAAAAAGCGTTAGCAAGATCAATACATGTGAACCATGCTTGTTCGGGAGACAGATTGTTCAGAGCAACATATGGGTTTGGCACCGGGACCGTATTGGTCCCTAGAATCTGATTGATGGCTCTGAGGTCATGGGCCATACGGTACTGACCGGTGCCCTTCTTTTCAATCGGTAGAATGGGTGTGTTCCAGCAGGAGTTGGAGGGTTCGAGGACACCAGAGTCTAACAGGCCTTCTATGGTGTCCTGAATGCCCAATTCTGCCTCTCTTTTGTGAGGGTACTGTGGCACCCAGACCGGAGAGTCAGTATTCAGCTGGAATGAGATAGGTTTACAGTGGATCAATCCGACATCGGTTGGACCCTCGGCCCACAATGAGACTGGGAGGGAGGAGATAAGCTCCTGTGCTTTTGGATGATCAGATTTTTCTCTACCATGGTCTCTAGGTATGAGTTCATGTGTGCATAAAGCAGAGTCAGTGGTAGTACTCACAATTCTGAACATTTTCAGGGACGGAGAGCGGAGCACGCCAGGCAGGCCGGAGGAAGACCAGTCTGAGGCTAAGACTGCTGCTTTGACCATGGGGCCCAATTCGCGAGCCTCATGTCCCGGATGGAGAGCCAGCGAAATGTGGGGGAAAGCAGTCTCAGACATATTATACCAGGACTGTTGCTCTCTTGTGAGATTAACCATTGCCGCAACCCCCTGTTGTCCCATCAAAATGTCACCAGAATGTAGCTGCCAGGTCTTACCTTCTAGCTGATTTTGGAATTCCTCTAGGTAACATTCATTACCCTCCCGGTCGTAGAACAGAGTCAGATGGAGCGGGTCAGGTGGAGCCATGTAGGGGTGGACGCTGAGGATCCAGGGTTTCCAATGGAGATAACATGAGTAGAGCCCAGTTTGTGATGGCTCCAACAGGGCCCAGAAAATGTCTGCAAATCTAGGTTCAGTGTCTCTGAGGAGGTACTGGTGTGTGTCCCCAATCCCTTGTGCACATAGAACTTCAGTCCCATCCGGGAACGTGACAGTGAGGCCCTGCTGACCGCAGAGGATCTGTGCATTGAGTCTCGAGAGTAGGTCCCTACCCAGGAGATTGACTGGAACACTGGGAGACACTAGATAGGGGTGTTGTAATTTCTGTCCCGCTACGTGTGTGGGGAGGGGGATGGTAAATGACAGAATCTGACTTACCCCAGAGAAACCCACCACGCTCATCGTCCGTCCAGACAGAGGCCCAATGTCCTGATTAACCGTAGATCTGGTAGCCCCTGTGTCAACGAGAAAGGGCAGAGCGTGGTCCCGGACCGTCATGGACAGCATGGGCTCTGCCGTTACCCCGCTGTCCGAGTCGCTCTGTGGGGCGTGTCATTGAGGATACTGGTAGGCGTCCTGAGCCTCCCAGGTCTGGTCCCAGGCAGTGACTGCGACTGGAAACTGGTGGGCCTGCTGCTGCTGCTGTTGCTGCTGCTGCTGCCGTGGGGGTGGTCCTCCCTGTCTCAGCGGAGGTGGTCCACGGGCCATGCCACGCATCGGGTAGCTGTGTTGCTGCGGAGGGTTTGGTGGATAGTTCGGACATTCACGCCACCAGTGTCCATTCATGCCGCAGGAGTGGCAGGCGTTGTTGCGTGTAGGTGCTGTTTGTGCCTGATTCCAGTAACCGCCCTGGCGGGGAGGGCCGTTGTTACGAAATCTCCTGCTGCCCTGGAAACCTCCTCCCCTGTAGGGTCCACCAGACCTCGCTCCACGTCCTCTGCCCCACGAACCCTGAGATTGATCTGTGGGAGGAGAATAGGGAGAACAATCTGCCCGCTGGGGCACTGGGTACATGTCAGGTGAAATCTGTGGGTCGTTAGAGGCAGCGGCAATCATAATTTTATCTGTATTACGATCTTTCTTACCCTCAGTGATATTTCTCCGAGCCTGGGTGAGCTGCAGCTTCATAAGTTGTCTCTGCATGTCTTTGTCATCATCACCTTCTTTGTCAGCTCTGTCTTTCGCTCTCTGTAGGTGGTGTTTGAGATGTCGTTCCCACACCAGGCAGGTTGAGCCCGGAAGGTCTGGGCTGTTTTCCAAGTGTTCTCTAACGTCTGCTGGAACACCTTTAATTACAGCATCTCTAAACCAATGTTCCTGGCCCTTACTGGGGTGAACCCCTGTGTATTTGGACCATTGTTCCTTGCACTGGGCTAGATACTCGCTAGGAGAGAGACTTTTGTCCCATGAGAACTTGGGGATCATTGGACCGTTGGGAAGCGGGTATTTGGAACGGAGCTCGTTACGCAGAGCCCTAATTACTGTGACTAGCTGCCTGTCATCATTGCAGGAAATGGTGCCTGCACAGGTTTCGATGTCCCTGAGTTCGGTAGGGGTGACACAGAGCGCGAGAATAGCCCTGAAATCGCCGAGGGCTAGATCTTGGCCTTTAGTCAGGCAGTCCAATTTGTCCAGCCATAAGTTGCCTCCCTCAGAGATGGGGGGCAGCTTATCACTGATGGTTTGTGTATCGCTAACAGCGAATGGTTTATAGATTTTGTGTCCACCACTGGATTCAACCAGAGGGAAAGCGGAGGAGCTGTGGTGTGCTGTAGCTGCGTCTGGATATGCTGGAGGTAACATGGCTTTTGAGCGTGTGAAGTGATGGTGGCTGAGAGGTGCACTCACCCTTTTTTCGTTCGTCATACGCTGCTGTTCCTCCAGGGTGGCAGTGGGTCGGGCCATGGCTTCACTGGCGTCCGTGTTATCCGTATAGTTGACGGTGGAGCCTCTGGTGGTCCTCTGCATCTCATCTCTCATGGTGCTGAGCATTTCGTCTCTCACTTCCTGTCTGAGTTCCTCCTCCACTCTGCTGCGCATGAGCTCTGCACCTGTAACATCTAGGGTGTCTTGCAGTATTTTATTGAGAGTGCTCTTGGTAGGATTGGGGTCATATGTACCTCTTACCGTGAGTTGGGCTGTGCAGGGCAAACTCTGTGGACTCTGTGAGCCTCTGTTCGGGGACGGTATCACCGTCTTATCCTGTCCCCTGGGGGTGGATCTCTGCTGTGGCTCAGGAGCGGGCAGTGAATCTGGTGTGGGCAAAGATTTAAATTGTAATTCTTTTTTAAACTCACTCAAAAAGCGGGCCTGACGGTCTCCGAATGGTGCATCGAGCTGGTCCTCCTCTTCCTCCTCCTCGCTGTCCTCGGCTTCAGAGTCGCTGTCTTCATCCATGTCTCTGTAGGTATTGTTGCCTTCTCTGTCCTCGTAGTCTGAGAGGTCGATGGTGGTGGTACCAGAAGTCCTAGAGGCCATGGATGGTGCCTTGTGTCCAGGAATGTGAGAAGTCAGGGAGGGGTCCGGCTGTTGAGGCATCATGGTGGGGGGTATGTCAATCTTCAGATGTCCTTCATTGATGTTGATCACTGGGTAGAGAGAAGTGCTCACAAAAGGATTAGTGGGTGAGAGTTTTTTTCTGTGAAAACCAGACTGAGCGGAGTGGTAAGGTGGGGGTCGAGGCGGAGCTTTGGGAGGCGGAGCTGTAGGAGGCGGAGCTGAGGGGTGGAGACCTGAGAAAGGATTCGTTCGTTCAGCGGTGGGAGGAGGCAGGATAGAGGGAGGGGTAGCTGGTGGAGGCGGAGCTGGGGTGGCACCCTTTGTGTTGGTGGGTGTGTCCTTCTGTGTCTTACTGTGTGTGTGTGCTGATTTGAATAATCTCATGTCTGTATTTGGGGTGGGGGTAATCCCTGTCAAACCTTTCTCAGCTGCCTTATTTACATTAGTAAGATGCTCTGTCCCTCTGTGGGCTACTCCCAACGTCTGCCACCTAGCAAGTCTTCTAAAATGCTTTTTTACGGCCTGTTTATATTTTCTGCGGAGCAAAATGCTGCCTAGCGCTGCTTTCTTCCTTGCTGCTTCTCCTTTTGCTAGCTCTTCTTTCCCACGTGCCCAGATGAGATCTCCTAGTGAGGATCTTTCATTTTCTCTCCCTTCGATAAGCTCTTGCAGCATATCAGCATACTTTTCCCTCCCTTTCGCTGTCACCACAACTCCATCTTCTTTCCCTATGCCCTTTAAGATCCACTCTGCCTGTAGAGATAACGGGCCCCACCCATCATCATCTACCTCACGATCAAATTCACCATCCATCCCAACAACAGCAACGTCTCTTTAATGGCCGGCTGGTTTGTATGACACTTCCGTTTCGGGCAACCAGCCTTATTGGAGGCCTTCACAAAGCCGGTCAGTTTGTATGACACGTTCGTTCCGAGCAACGGACCCTTTCAGTGTAGTACTGAGACACTTTGTGTGAGGTTTTCTCCAAGACACCACTTTGAGACAAGTTCAATTTTCAGCATATATGTGGTCAAAACAGTCACAATTCACGCACAGGCTTCAATAATGTCACACAGCAGAGAGAAAGTTATTCTCCACTGAACTTTTTCTGTACGGCAGAACTCCTCGCACAGGTTTCAACTGTATCACACAGCAGAGAGAAACTCAGTCTCTACTGAATTTTTCTGTGCGGCATATCACCTCGCACAGAATTCAACAATATCACACAGCAAAGACAAAGTCAGTCTGTACTGACTTTTTGTGCGGCACAGCTCCTCGCACTAATTTTAACAATCACGCAGCAGAGAGAAAGTCAGTCTCCACTGAATCTTTCTGTGCGGCATATCACCTCGCACAGAATTCAACAATCACGCAGCAGAGAGAAACTCAGTCTCTACTGAATTTTTCTGTGCGGCATATCACCTCGCACAGAATTCAACAGTATCACACAGCAAAGACAAAGTCAGTCTGTACTGACTTTTTGTGCGGCACAGCTCCTCGCACTAATTTTAACAATCACGCAGCAGAGAGAATGTCAGTCTCCACTGAATCTTTCTGTGCGGCATATCACCTCGCACAGAATTCAACAATATCACACACTTCTTTTCGGGGGGCTCCAAGTCCCCGGGGTTTGCAACCCAGCTCAACTAGCGCCCCGTCGAGCCACTAGGGGGGTCCGCCACAACCCAGAGCGGTGGTCCTTATGACTCTTTACGCGGCCTTCACACAGGCTTCTCTTAAGTTTAACTTTTCATTTCACACATAGTTACTCTCTTTGTCAGAACACAGAATATCACAAGATGTACCAGTACAATATCATGAGCCTCGTAATAAATTTAGGATTCAGTATATACAGAGTTCAAGAGATCTTTGATTTAGAGTAACACAAATGGGCAGAAATTCTGTTAAAAAGGTTTTCTGCTTACCTTATTTTGTGGTCGACCAGATCTCTTTTCCTCTGATGCACTGAACAGTTTTCTCCAATTCAAAAGCTCTGTCAGAACTCCATCCCGGACGAGCCCCCAAAATTGTTGAAGTTAATTCAAACTTCCCCGAGTCCGTTGATGGAGACTGGAACAGAGGATTCACTGAGGCAAAAAGGTGTCTTCAACAAACCTTTTATTTCGGCACATCAAATAACACAAGATATCTTGGAGAGCACAACATCAACCCAATGGTATCTCTGAGGTGGTCTGATTACTATTTTTCAGTAGTTAATATTTATACCCTAGGAGGCGTCTCATCATCTTTTTGGGCGGAGAGTTTACATAACCAGCAGCCCCCAGTGTTTCTCTATGGACAAACAAGCACGTATTGTTCTATTTTTTTTTACCTGACCGAAACCGTGGTTTCAGGGAAGTTGACCTTGGATGCATCCAGCGCTTGTCTCCTTTTATCATATTTGCGTCATGTATTCCAAGCTTTCACTGAGTTCCCACTGGGCAGACTGCTGGGCATGCAAACCCCCCTTTACACCTCCCCATCTTCTCAGGACAGAGTGATCTTCCTCCCTCGTCCTGTTGTTCACATCTCTGACTAGCACCTGCACATCTGTTTATGAAAGGCACATCATTATCTAAGGCATATGTCAGGGCCCTAGAGCACTTTTATAAGGAACACTTTTAGTGAATGGCTGTGATGATTATAAAGCACACTTTTTAATAAATGACTGTTAAGGCAGAACAGTTTAAAACCATACTTACCAACCCTTGGCACTTCTAGGCATAAGCTAAAATCCTTCTATACTGAAAGTCTCTGTTCTATACATTGTGACACAGTGGTCAATTGCCCCCGTGTTAGCATTAAACCTTCTAATCTGACTCATCAGTACATGTCCGCAATGAGCACACAAAATAATGTAAACACAATAAGAAAACAGTTAATTACCTGAAACAATGATTAAATGATTGTCATCAATGATTAAATGATTAGCGTGAACATGTGATGGTTAAATGATTAGCATGAACCTGTGAGTTCCCACAGGTGGGGGGCATATCTGAAGCTGAATACAAGGTGATACATTCACCTTTAAATGCAAAGCCGTATTTAATGTTGAGCTCCCTCATAAATGGAGGAGCTCAAATTCAATCAGGAGTGATTCATGAAGAAACTGGTTGAAAAGATTGATGATTAAAGTGATCATTACATAATAACTCGTAAATGTGGGACCGGTTGTTTGGTGATTCATCATCATCATCTACTGAAGTCCTCTGTGGCAAATTATTTAAGGGGTTCTTGATCGAGTTATTGAATTATGATATTATTATTCTAAATGAACAATCATTCACTCATCATTAGCGACTCTGGTATATTGAATTTGATTGGGGGGTGAATCAATTGCAAGTGATTTACCAGCAGTCATTACCTGACGTGTTCGTGGTTTATTCTGTGGTGTTGGCTTGGTGGTGAAATATCACAGCACTTTGCATTGCCATTGTTATATCACTTTATATAAGTTACTGGTAGGGTTATTGTGCTAGAAGAGTTCATTGCACTGACTGAGGCTAAATTTTTTTACTCCAAATCTGTAAGGATGGTGGTTGAACACTAAACACAGAGCAGCTTCATTAATGTGAAGTATTAAAGTATTACAGGTGTTACATCATGAATTACTACTTGAACTTTGTTGCTATAGTGAAGTGTCCTTAACTGCTTCCCACACTAATTGCCAAGAAGCTGGTGTGCCAATAGAAGAAGGTCCTTTTCAACACAGGAACCCTTATCATCATTGTGGCTCCTATGAGACTCTTATCATCGGCACTTTAAATGATTGTATTTGTTGGAATACCTGCCAATTGCTCGAGCACCTCTTTGCCATGTCAGCAATCATTAAGTGATGGCATTCATCTAGGGCCTGTTCAGAGGAGGAATACTCTGGCCCTTCTCTCAGCTCTTGATTCTGACAATTATGGCTTTGAATACCGCAAACTCCTCATGACTCAAACAAGCATACCATGTATACGTAATTGCTCTCCTGTTACAGAGGTGATGGGTATACTAGAGATGAGAAAAATCAATCAGAAGAAAAAGTACAGTGGCCCTGCTGGGGTGCATCCTCTCAGAGTTACAGAAGAGAAAAACGCCCAAGTACACGTAACAGATTAAGCGTAATGTGTTACGACCCCATCTCTGCTTCCATGAGCGGCAGTAAAACTCCAGAAGCAAACGAGTCGAGTAAATTTCAGTGAGCAGAGCCTTTAAATCTGGCCTCCTCCTCCCCTTCCCCCTTCTATGTAACCAAGTGATTCCACCTGGCCCCTCTCTGCTTTAGTGCGGGTCTGTGGAGATGGGTCAGAGTCATTTGTAATCATTTATCCCCCCATGTGGAGTATCAATCTAGCAATCCAATGAATCAGGAACCAGGGATTGGTGAGGGAGCAGAAGGATGTGTTGTTAATTGTGCTGAGAGTCAAAGCGAGAGATTGGAGGGCTCTCTTGATGTAGATTGTCATAATCATGTTCGGGGAGATGAACCCCTCATCCTTGCCTCTACTATTTCCCTGTAACTCGAGCTTGTCTGACATCTTCTTCTGTCGTCGCGCTTCACTCCCCATGGTCTTTTCCTCTCTTTACTCCGCTCTGTAATCAGCCACAGGAGTCATAGTAGAGTGCAGCACTTGACTCACACATCATTATTTATTAACATCTCTAGTTTTATTTGTCCAGCTGGTTAATTGGTAGTATATTTTTGTGTTAAATGGCCCCAGCAGAATAGTAGCTAGATTTGGGCATGCTGGGATAATGTACCTAATGTTTGTTATGGGGATCATTTTTCTGTCCTCTTGAATAAGTAGAAATGTAAAAAAGGTGCATTGCAAACAGCTTATAAATAAAAAGTGAGCACTGAATTATTTCTTTAATTATGAAACCAGATGAGCTGTTCCCAATGAGGCACACTTTCACCATGCATAAGGAACAATCACACAGGGAAATGAAGGCACGAGTTACGGTAATAAGATGTTAGCACTTTGTTATCCTTCATATCTAGTGGAGCAAGATCCTGTCCTGCAATCCAGGCAACAGCAGCAGGGTGCTGGTGAGTGCATATCTAAGATGCCAGTTGCTACATATAAACTTAAACCATAAGCAGTAGGGATAAAGGCAACAATATTAAAAGTTATTAGATTTGCATCGGCTACATTCAAAGTTGTGTCAACCTCAGTTTTGTTTTAGTCATTTGTTAATTTGAACCACAAATCCGTCGCCTGTGGAAGTGTTAGTGAGCACAAAGGAGGGCACAAGAGGACATCGGAAAGAAGAGGGTCTGGATGGTCCACACCTGAGATTACCAACAGAAGTTACTTGATGGGTTGCTTAAGTCCATCTGCTATTTCTCGACAACTTTTCTATTTTTTCAGTGTCCTGTGGTCATCCCTCGATGACGCATCTTAAAGGCAGGGACTTTATTTCTAGAGTCAACAAACTTTCCCTCTGTCCAACAGTTGTTGTTTCTTGTCTTTTGTTTCTTTATTGTTTCTTTTGGCTTCACTGTTTGCTTTCAATATGCTCATAACCAGAGGTGAAAGTAGGATAAGGTTCTTGCAGGTACTGTACCCGTAGGATTTGTACAAGTGGAGCATATTAAAGTTTAACAAGGTGCCGACTCTGATGCCACAGTATCATCATCTGCTGCATCTCTCTTTCTGTTGAACATAAAATCAAAATTTCTCTGCATTTTGTTTTATTTTTGCATTAAGATTGAAGCAGCTGTCTCTTTAAAAGTTCCCTTCTTCTGCAAAAGCTCCTCGGCAACCAGCGTCCAATCAAAAGTGCGCACGGAGCGCGCCAAATTTCTGGTGATTGTTTGTTTGTTTGCGGAAGCACATACACTTCATTCGCAAGCAGCATGGTCCTATTGGATTACTACGGTTACAATGCAGGGTGCGGAATGACGTGCGGCAACACGGTAAGCAAATATAGCCTACATACTTTGGAGGGGGGGATGTTTGCGTACCGCTGCGTAACGGCTGTAAACTGCTGTTTATGTCTTCCCGGTACGACTGCCGCTGCATACCGGCTTGATTTCACCCGCGGGTATTGTTGGTTCTGGTGTCTCTCAACTTTATCTCGATGATAACTTAGGGATTCTTAAGTGGGGTTGAAGTCAAGCAGGTTTGTTTTCAAAGTAATATCACAGTCAGCAAACCAGTTTCTGGTAGTTTTGGTGCTGTGGGAAGACTCCTATTGGGGAAGTAAATCTGTATCTGTGCTCTAAAGTCTCCTGGTAGACTACAGGCTGCATGGCTTCAGGATTTGATTGTGGAAACTTCATGCTGGACATCAAGCACCTTGGATTCTGTGCCTCTGTGGTTGTTGGTTTCAAAATAAGATAACTCACATTCATCTGAAAATAGACTTTTGGCTTGTGTGAGACCCTTGTTGCTCTGACTCCAGCCTTAGTCCACTCATTGTGAAGCTCCTCCAAGTTGCTGAATATGCTTTTGGGCAATCCTCTCAAGGCTGCGATCATCCCTGTTGCTTGGTCACCCTATCCTAACGCACTTTTCCATTTACCCTTTGATACGGCTCTATGTAAATGGCCAGCCTTTTCAAAAATGACCATCTGTTGCTTACCTTCCTTGTGTAGGATGTTAATAATCAGTGTTAGCAGTCTTCCTCATGATTGTGGTTGTGTGTACTGAGGATAGAGGCTCAGTAGATCTTTGCAGGTGTTCAGAGTCAGTTAGCTGATTGAAGTTCTTTTCAGGACTAAAAAACCTGACAAGAAACTGGATTTTGTTACAACATTCGAATGTTTTGAGATTGTGGATTTTTCATTTTCATGAGCGATAAACTGTCGTCATCAAAAACAAAGACATCTTGAAATATTTCACATTGTGAAAGTTTCACTTTTTTCACTAAAATCATAGGGCAAAAATGACAAAGGACATAAAATTTTTGGAGCTGCACCTTTGCATATTAAATCAGGATGTAGCATTGACAACTGTCCATACTGTCCCTAAGAAAACTGTTGAAGTCAAAGAATACAACCTCCATACGATGTGTAAGATACAACTATCAACTCCAAATAAACAAAAGACAGAAATGTGAATGCTTCATAAAAGCCCATTAGATTACTAAGGTTACAATGCAGAGTGCAGACTGACGTGCGGCAACACAATAAGCAAATGTAGCCAACATGCACTGCAGGGGTGAAAATTTGTCTACCGCTGTGTACCGGCTCTAATCTGCTGTTTATGTCTTCCGGTTTGGTGTACCGCTGCCCATAACTTAAGCACATGTGGTGCGACTTTCAGTCAGGAGGGGTCACAGACATGTCCTTGAATGTTCTCCACTATGACACACCAGACAAGCCAAAATGATCAATTTTCAGAGCCACCAAACTGGGCTCAAATCATGCTTTCGTTGTATTATCTGACCTCAAGATAAATAGCACGATGTATAATGAGACGAGACCTCCTGCTCACCCTGCTAGAGGCAAATTTGCATAACCCATCTACTGTACATAAAGCACAGAGATCAGGGTTTCTTCTTTAAAATAGTTGTTTTTTCCTCCGAGTGTGATACTGAACTATTCAGATGCAAGATTCAGGACTCAAGGCAAAAGTTCATACTGTGATTTATCAGAGGCAGAGGTTGATACACAGGTGGTCAAAAAACACAGAGAGAGGAATTCAAAGAACAAGAAGCTGAAGGCAAAGCCCAGAACACTGAAGGTAGACAGGAGAAAAACACTGAACGCTGATTCAAAAGAAGAAAACAAACCGGCGCAGGGAGGGAAAAAAAGACTTACACACAAGTAATGGGTCTAACAAGACACGGGTGAGGCACATCAGAGTGGGGAATCAATTTTAACAGGTTTGTTTGAGAAAGTCACAGTCACATTAGCATTCATTCCCAGCATTGTTTGAGTCCAATTATTCATAGCAATCCCTTTTAAAAGTTTAAGGCTGGACCACAGAGGTCGAAGAACAGGCG